TCTAACTTCAGCCGATGCACAATATTATTAAACCATTTAGTATAGTGTTCAATGAATAACTTATATGCTCGTCAATTGATGTGCTTGAAACCATTAGGAGTTTACCTTACTCGGTAAAGGAGAGCGAAGAAAAACGGTTGCAATGACACAGTAGGCCATTCTAATCCATTGTTCCAGGCCCTGCTAACTAGATCCAAAAATCTTGATAGGGCGTAGAAAGTTTATTCTACAAGCACCCAGAAAATCGAGGTCGACAAGCACACAAATCGAGTTTATTTATACTTGACAGAAACGTGCTTGGGAGAGCCAGAAAAATAGCATACTTAACTAATACATCAACCAATGACAGTCAAGGATTTTCCGGGTCGGAAATGTAATCTCAGCGCATACTCGAAAACATAAAATCATAAATTAGAACATTTTCCAAGTGCGTTCTGGTAATCTAACGTCCCCAACAGTAACCGCCTCACACCCGACAACGCTGAATTTCACCGGTCACAACGTTTCATTAGAATTCTCCCTCTCTCCCATTAGTGGTTACATGATAATTATCAGGATATGGTTGTGAAGATTGATGAGTTTCATTGAAATCATGAATCGAGGGTGAAACGGCCGTCTAGTGCTTTCAGGAATTTCGGCGGTGGTCAAACGTTGGTATTGATGATTTTAATAAAACTCAACAATATCTACAACCCTATTTTGGTACAAATACTTATATTTGAAATCGTATTATCGGACGAATTCGAAAGTTTTTATGAAATAATTCATGATTCTTTACTGTACCAAAATGAGAAATGGATGTTTACTGATTAAGGCTACTTAAATACTTGATCAGCAGTCATTAGACAACTGATTTATTATCGTTCATTACTTCTTCTATGCAGCCATCCATCAACAGAACTTACTACATAACAATCAGGATCTGAGTTGATACGACTGCTCATTGTTCCTCTGTTTATTGTCGACACTGCAAATAATCCCATTTTAGGACAAAAAATATAGTCAATTTACAGAGACCTTCATAAAGATCGAAACAACTATCGAATTCTGTGAGATTTTCCAGTTTACATAAATCAAATCCACGAAAATTCATGGCTGCAATTATTAGGTTCGCATAGGTTTTGTCAAATCATAATTGTTATCCGTTTGAAATCCCAGATGCTAAATTTTATTGGTAATCTATTCATCATTCATAAAAGAAGCCATGATGAATGGATCGTATCAGGCGAATGATTGAAAACAGACTGCATTAATCATCTTTTTCTACATCAGTAATTAATTGTTAACATTCATTGTCAGCTAACTTTCATTCATAATCAATGTGTCATAAATGTCGCTAATAATTTTAAATACACGTATTTGTTGCCATTAACTTTTTGACGATTCATATGATTTATTCAAAATTATGACGTAAACAACTCCGTTGTATGAAAGTTTGCCTATAATATTTAATAATCATAAGACTTTGGCAAGTTAAGCATAGTGAATTCCTTCAAAAATATTAACTATTTTACTAGTGGTTGACTTGTTTTTCTAAAGAAGTTTCAAATTATATTGTATTTTTCGTTTAGTATTCTATATGTTTATTTCTACTCAACATTTTTCCGAAATTCCATTGATCTACTATGTATAACTTTGAAAACTAATGTTGGTTTATCTTGAATATCGATATATTCTCGTAACTTGTGAAAATCCATGTTTTTCCTCATACGAATCATAAGCAATCAGAATATCATGTCGACCAAGGAAAACGTATTTTGTCTTATAATTACTTTGGACGCCAATGCACGCGAAGAAAATAAATCAGTTTTAATTTGATTTCGTTTGGTCATCCAGGTAATGTAGAATTACTCTGTAATTATAACATACATATTACATTGAGTACAAAATATTTTTTTACTACATAATATATTTCGCCACGCATTCGTCTCGTCCCTTGGTTTTTATTTCTTGACATATAGTCAAAAATATTTTTCTGGTGATTTCAAGATTTAGAAAGTGACAACCTCGTTTATTTTTCACAAAGTATTATTGTCGAATGGAATGAAATTTAAATACTTACGATTCAAGCCACATGAAACCCTATTTCTGACGTAACAAATCAGGAATCCCTTGTTAACGATAAAATTGTCACTGTCCATTTATCAGTATAACTAATCCTAAGGAGCAAGTTTTATATGCTTTTAAAAAGTTGTCAGATCGATAAATAGACCAGTCCTTTCTCATTTGACGAACAATAAACTTGAGTTTAAGAGAAAAGATGACTTTTCAATCATAGACTGAGTCTTGATCATTTTGACACAATAATCAAGAGTACTCCTTCTCTATGTAGAAGAAGCTATTAGCATCAACTGAAAAAACAAAAAGTTTTACATATCGGAAATCAATGTAATAAGCCCCTTTGTTTATTCTAACAAACTATAAAGTCATTACGTTTACACACGTTTTGATCTTATCAGCTACAAATTATGAACTTATGCCACACCGTTTTCATCTACATATTTAACACTACATCTTACTACGACATTTTACTAATTGGACTTCTTTCTTTTATATGATTATTATCATTGCTATTATTGTTGTAATTTGAGCGACACGGCTCTTCTATAATGTATCATTTTCGTTTTAGGTTTGATTATAACTCACATCAGTAGAGGAGTCATGGATGCTCGGCGACGGTCAATTTCATACGTGAACAAAAAAGCTGTTTACGGCTTTCAGTGTTGACCTAGCTAAAAATTTGTTCGCGCTCAGAGGCTATGGAAGCTCCAAAATCTCCGATATTCCCTGATTGAGAAGATAAAGATTTATTCGGAAACTTGGAGAGCAACCAAAGCCATTATCCGGAAGACACGTGTTTATTAACAGTTGTCTACGCAAAATACTTCATATCCGATGGCCAGATATTATTGACAACAGCCTAATGAGAGCAGAAATCAGGCGGATATAAAACACATTGAGGAATGAACCCAAATGAGTCATAAGGCAAGCCGGGGGGAGCTATTGTAGCACCTCACAATTTATTTATCATAGTAACTGGAGTGATTAGTCGATAATAATAGTGACCATTTTTCATTTCTGTAGTAATTCGATAATTTTATGAACTATTGTATATTTGATTGTGTGTGTGCATGCTTACTCGCTTAATACATGTTGTTATGATATTCATCCAATATCCTAATTATTGGTCAATTCCTACTGGTCAATTTTATGGTCGTCCTAGATATCAATGTCACATACTCCAATGTTTCTTATTGGTTGTTCTGACTATCAATGTCACTTCAAATGTTGCTTCCTATTGGTCGTCTTAACTGTCAATGTCACAGACTTCGATGCTGTTTCCTATTCGACCAAAATGTATAAATACGCATTATTAGTAACGTTTTATGACCACGACCAGGGCTCGGTCCCGGATCCTGATTCTCTTCTGGATTCGGCCAATTCATGGAGTGATGTGTTTTTTGGTCTTCCTCTTTTACTTTGACCTTAAGGATTTCAAAAGAGGGTTTAGTGGCTGTACTAAACTGGAATTAGGACTTACCATATTAGCAGCCCGTGACTTGACCCCAGATTGAACTAATGAACCAGTACGTGATGAAACTAGTCTTCCTTTCCTTTTCCGCGTTTGTGCGACGGTGGTAATGGGAAGTCAAATACAGTTTTGAGGATGAATTTAAATAATGCATTCATTTTAGCAGACTGACATGAGAATGAAAAGCGATCAAGCACAGCGAAGCGGACTGGAGAAGGTAGGTCAACCAATCCTACTGCGCTGAAGCATGATTAGATATTTATAGTCCGTCTAAAATAAGCTAGACATGTGTTACGCCTGCACGTAAATACGTCAACTTGATAAACTTGAACTATTGCGAGTTTACCTAGTCAGAAAACGAGAGCGAGGATCCGGCGACACGACATGCTACTCAAATGCGATTATCCCAACCTCCATATTTAGTAAAAAATAAGACGTGATATGAAGCAAAACCTGCATTCTACAAGCATCCAGAAAGTACGAGGTCCGAATCCAGAAGAGAATCAGGATCCGGGACCGAGCCCTGGTCGTGGTCATAAAACGTTACAAATAATGCGTATTTATACATTTTGGTCGAATAGGAAACAGCATCGAAGTCTGTGACATTGACAGTTAAGACGACCAATAGGAAGCAACATTTGAAGTGACATTGATAGTCAGGACAACCATACACTTTGCAATAAAGACATTATTACCTACGAACTAATAAACAAAGTATTATTGGAAGATAGCTGACATCCAGTATTAGCGACTATCATAATGCAATTCAATTCAATACTGAAAGTATCGCTGACATATGTCTCCTAAATGACAATTATCTGTGTATGATCAAAACATTTTCTCGTTTCCCAAATAACTATCGACAGCCGCAATGCTAAATTACACGTTCAGTAAAAACCACGAAATCTGAGCAAAAGCCATACACATACCAAGGTAAACTGCATACAGAAAATCGAGCTTAGAAATAGGTTTTCCAATGACAATGGTGATCTAGAAAGTTGTGGAAGTATGTTACATATAGTAACAAAAAAGTTGTCGAATCAAAATTGGATACACCATGATATCTTAGAATCAAGATCAAAGAAAAGGTAGCTGTCAAAACTTCTATGGACTATCATTACTATATATCTATATACTGGATTACTAGCATGTGACTAGATTATTATGTTCATAAATTCCATTTTTGTTTTATAAGTTATCGTTCAACCTATTACCTATATAATTATACTACTTTTTAGTTTTTATTTATCACCAATTATAGACATTTTGTTCTACTCAAATTTTTGATTGGATGAAATGTTTCCAGTAATATTTTTTAAAAATCTTCTAGGGGCTTTGTTTAGAGATGAATGCAGCTGCTTCTCAGCCGTTATAAATTATACATTAAAATTACTTTGAACTTAACTAATGATTGTACTTCAATATATCAAAACTCTTAAATGCTAAAATTTTAAAGAAAGGCAGAACATTAGAACACTTAACAACTTGAATATTATTCACAGTAAAAAAATGAACCTGGATAATATTTCAAGTCGATTGAAAATGTGTTTGCTTTTCTTTTTTTTTTGAAATTCAAATATTAATCATTGAACATGACCTTACTGTGTTTGAATTGAAACAGTGACTGTGATGATGATGATAAAGATGGGGCTAGTGGATAATAACAGGAAATAATTGAAATGAATTCAGCAAAAGTATTCACATAATCAATATTAAACAATGAATAAGAAAATATACAGAAATTATATCTATATATATATATATATATATATATGTGATTTATAAAATGTCTTTCTAAAGTAATTAAATGATCAAAAAGTAGAATAATTATAACAATATTATAAGAAATAATGTCATGAATAATATGAAAACCTAATAATAACATAGAAGAAGAAGAAAGAAAGAAACAAGCGACGATGAAGGGTTGCAAGGCGAATCCTGTTTAGGAATGTTTCACTTTTTTCATTGCTGCAAAATGAGAATTCGGATTATTTAGTAAATCTTGTGGATGGCCAGTTTCAATCACTTGTCCATGATCTAATACAACAATTCTTTATTTTAAAAAAAGAGAAAAGAAAAATTATGTGAAATAAAGAATTGTATTTAATAAATATATCAATATATGACATCTTATACAGTCAGTTGCAACGTAGAACTTCGTACGTATATACATAAGTTCATGTTGCCATACCACATTAACACATAGACGCAAATGTCAAATCAAATCCCATAGTGATAAAGATAGTAGAGCTATTAATCGTAATGAAGAAGACTAGGGTTTGAGGATATTATTCAAGAAGTATAATTCAGTGAGATAAGGTTAGAAAGACAAAGAGAGAGGTGCTGAGGAATCCAATTCATAAATTGAACAAAAGCGTAAACTCTTGTCATATGTTTACAACTTAAAAAAACAATAATAATAATTATTTACAACTATTATTTACGTTCAATGTCATATTGATCAACTGTAGTACAAAAATAGTGATGACATGTTTTGAAATAATTATCCGACAGTAAAATATAAATAAATGTTAATATGGTGCTGAATGTAACAATTCCAGAAGAAAATCTAAAAAAAAACTCATAGAGTTATGTGCCTAGAGAATGAACCTTCCTATCAGTGCTAAATGACAGGAAAACATAACAAACACAGACATTACCCATCATCTGCTTAAAACTGAATGATAAAGTGGTCATTTTTCCAAATGTTTCAAAATATTCATTGCTCAAACAACTTCGTATTGAGTATTTTATGCCAGAGTAACAGCAATTCAAAAGTTAAAACAAAACTTTTGTATTCAAAAGGAAGCAGTTGTAAATCACTCACTGCTCTGATAATTTCAGTTCATCATTATTTGATGATTATTAGTTAATATCTTATTTGATATTTACAATAATAAGTTTTCTATTTTTTTTCACCCTTGTGCATCTTACTTTGTTAACGTATCCTACTTATATTTTGGTTGTTATTTAACAGAACTGATATAAATGTATTTTTATTCTCTAGAAACTTGTCACTACGTGATTCTAGCATTCAGCACCATATAAATATTCATCTATTTCAACTATATATGTATTTTTCTATACTTATTGTCACAATTCTACTACTCTCGATGAATATGATATAAAACATAAACATATTGGTTGATAATGATTATTAGTTCTATGCCTAAGTTGTAAGTATATAACGAGAGTTCATCGAATAAGTTTGTTATTTTTTACCAAAATCATTCGATTTTCCAGGTTGAATGGTTTACTTGTCGGCTAAACGTGACAGATGGTTAAAAGGCACAATATATGTTTTTTTATAGAAAGAATATACCGTGTAAAACGTGGTTGATTATTACACAAGGATGTAAAATTTTTATTAGCTATACTATTTTGCATAATCATGTTTAAACGAATACACAAGTAACTACGGTGCATTTTCACCATATATTTAAAAAGGCTAAATATACCTTTGTTATGTTTGGTATTTTTGAAAAGTTATTCAATTTAGTTATTGATAAATACGTAGAATAAATAGAACAAAATAGTACTTGAATTTATTTCAAATCATCTATATTGTAGCCGATAGATATTGCTATAGAATAGATTTTAATGTGACCATCAGTGGAATCCAAGACGCGCGTTTCGTTCTGTTTGGGATGTATTTACACAACCGAGACACGATATTCCAAGCTATTTCAAATTGGATTACAAACGTATTGATTTCTGATATAGTAAACATTACGGGTGAAATCAGAGAAGAGTTAAAATATACCACCCGGTCTACCTTCTAGTAAGATGTTATTTGGTGAAGGAGTGGTTCAGAGCCAACAGATGTAGCATCAGTCCGTGAAGCTGCGGAGCACTAAATTAATTAATGTTGGTAGGTGTTGAGTATGTTGGTTGAAATCTACAGAATTATCGTAATCAATAATTGGAGACGATGGATAATATAACTCAGAATCAGTTACAACGGCATAGATGCACTCTGCCCATAACTTCTCTTCGACCATAAATTTCAAAATTACTTTATAATAATCATTTTACGAATTCATTCCTTCTTTTTAGGCAATAGGTAACCTGAAACTTTTATATGAATCCATTACTACTCTGATATTTCATTTGATAATTTTATTTCTCTGTGTTCATATACAGTACGGCAATTTGAACTAATGTAAATATTTTCAATTCGTAGCTTATAACTGATTGTATCAGAAAAAGTTACCAGCGAAACTGATTAGAACTGATAGAAAATTTACAATCTAGTTAGTTAACTGATAAATTATAGCAAATAGTTTTGCAGATTATCATCTCATTTCCAACAGTTAAATAAAATACATAAACAAAAATAACAATATTCTTTGTAATTTGGTTTCATGAAATTTCGAAACAATTTTATATGAATTCAATTTATTTTGTGTAGTTGAAAATAAACGCTTGTCAACTTTTAGTTTTTTTTTAGTTTTCCTGAGAGAATTTGCATTCCCTTAATAAATTTTATCAATTTATTTTAGTCAAAATCACATTTTACATTAATGTAGGAGTAGAATTACACTACAAAACTGTTTTCCAGGTTTTGCTACCGTTTGTTGTTTTTGGAATAAATTCAATGTTCCATTTATGTAATGTTTTACTAAATTAAAGATTCTAAGTACCCAATGAAAAATAAACATTATATTCCATACAGTGTTGATGAATAAATTTTTTTTTTAGTCTGAATTACAAATATCAGTGCATAAATTTTCAATCCGAATTCATTATGCGACAAAAACAAAAAGCACAATCGAACTCACTAATTAATTTACGCACCCAAAATATCAATGAATAAATTTATGAAACAGTGAAGCAAAATTAACAACAACACTTATCACACACTCAACGAAGCAAAAGCACATTCTAAATGCTTTAGTCACAATCAATAATAATAATAATAATAATAATAATAATAATCAATATCGGCCTATATAGGCACTTAAAATGTCAAGTTTAAACAGTTAATTCCAAAAACAAAAGGGATGATATTGAGGAGGACTTACGATTTACAAACATTTAAAAAAGTAGTAACTGAGTAATATCGAAATATATACCAAATATGTTTGGAAGCATTCCGAGAAATAAATGATCGATGTTTGCAACTTCCTTTGAAGTTTGTTGGGGACGCTAGATCTCCGGAACTCACTTGGAAAAGGTCCTAATCAATTAATTTTATTTTGAGACTTTGAATTTTATGTTTTCGCGCTAAAGACGCTCATTTTGACCTTCAGCTTGCGTTTCCCACTCGGGAAATCCTCGACTGTCATTGGTTGATGGGTTATTTTAGTACGCTATTTTTGGCTCTCAACAAGGGCGTTTTATACCTGTATAAATAAGCTTGAGTTGTGTGTTTGTGGACCTCGTACTTTCTGGATACCGGTGGAATATATTGTCTCTACGTCTTATCAAGACTTCTTCCTCTAGTTAGTGGGACCTGAGACGATCGGATTAGAGTAGCCTATCGTGTCGCGGAATCAATGGTCTTCGTTCCATTACTGAGTAAGGTAAACTCGTAATAGCTCAAGCATATAAAAATTTAATCTAAACTAGCAGATAGTGAGATTACTAGAACTCAGTGATTTTAAAGAGATATTCACAGCATAAATTATTGGCTTTTATATCTTATAACAATAATAACTGGTTATCTTATAGTCTATTGAACATTGTAATTCACTTTATTCAATACCATTCAAGGATATCATATTGATTAGTACTGAAGTATTTACACAAACAAGTTGTGAACATTTACAAAAACTGCCATTCAAAATCTATCAATCGATAAGCAGAGAACATAATTATGTGTAAATGATCAGCTTCCATATAGATTACATATAATCTACTAATAAACAAATTAATGATTCTGACAGAGAAATCAATTGATCCAAAGGAGTTGTTAAATGTAAATAAGAAAGTAAGTTGTTTTTTTTTAAACAAGTGTAACGTTAAAATATATATATCACACTTAACATACATTAGGTAAACAAGAGTATACTTACTTATCTGTATTCATTACACTGGATAAACGATGAGCAATAATAATAACAGTTGCATCCTTAAACATATCTCCTATGACAGTATTCATAACTAAATTATCTGTAGATGGATCCATTGCAGCTGTAGCTTCGTCAAGAATGAGTAAACGAACTCGACCACCGGATGATAGAAAGACTCGAGCTAGACAAACAAGTTGACGTTGACCAGCCTTTTGGAAAAGATTACAACAGAATATAATTTAAAATTGTAAAAACTTTACTACAAAAAATAGGAAATTAATTTTTTTAAAAGAAAAGAAGTATTTCTAACTTCGACGGAAAGTGAATCTATCAAGAGATTAAAAGAGAAAATGTAGACGTTTAAGTGACGATCTTCACAACAGTGAATAAATAAAAATGTTAATAGACCATTTTGGTAATAAAAATGTATTTTCTCTAGAAATATGACTGCAGTAAAATTTAGGTTTTTAACCTTGAAATTCAAGATAAGAAAAGATTGAATTAAGATATATAATTTATTCGGAATACACGGAAAAAACAACGGAACATATTGAAACAACAGACAAAAGAAAGAAAATTATCCTTGACTATATCTTTCTTTTCATGAAAATCTGAAATTTAAATTCTTTTGACTGTACACTAACTAACAATATGTGTGACCAATTATTGCAGTAATTAATTTTATTATCAATAACAATTGTGTAATAGATTTTCAACAGCAATTATCATCATTACAAGAACTGAACACACTTTAAACAAGTGACTATTGAAAAAATAGAAAAAAATTTCTTTGAGTATATAAAATATTGGAAAATATAAAATTAGAATAAAAATGAAAAGATTTCGCTGACTATAAATACGAGATAAAGACAAATGAACATTTATGCACAATTCATAAAATAAAAATAGCTAGCTGTCTTCCAAAGCGCCGATAAATCTCTTTTTATTTGCAAACAGTCATAATTATTCAAACTGATCACAGTTTGTAGGTGGAACTTAGTGAATTTCCTAATGAAATAACCGTTATTAGATAACACCTGATAGTGTATGAATTTCAGAAGACAACATAAAGTATTATTCGTGGTTTATTATCGTACAGCACACACCACAAAGCCGTCAGTACGTCAAGCGAATATGAACAGGAAGTTGAATGTCGAGGGACGCAAACGAATATTAGAAAACAAATGAATAAGATTTAGAAAGTAAATGTATGTTGGAAAACGAACGAGTCATCGAGTGGTTTAAGCGACTGACATTTAAGGTAGTAAGAGAAATGTCTGTATAGGCTGGTACACGTGATCAAGCATATACGCTCATACAAACAATAATAATAGTAAGCATACAAGATATAGACATGTTGTTACTGGCCAAACGAGACTGTCTATTAAACAAATTAATTGAAGGTCTGAACGAAATAGGACATATATAGATAGATTCAAGGGTAAGTCACGTGCTATAATCCAATACACTAATATTTTAATCATATCCAACTTGTTATTTTTGTTATAGACATATTTATAAGTGTAGAACCATGATGAAAACCTTATGTGAAACAACAATCTACGTAACTCTATAGTGAGAAAGTCTTATTGACATGAAATATTTACTCGCTCTATTAATCTTTTATCGTTATAGTTTGAAAATCTTTGAAATATACAATCGATTCAAAGGACGTTAAGTTCAAAGGGAATATGATATGCTGAGACGACATAGTCAAAAAAATCAGATCGATATTCCAGTTGCTTTGTGATGTGTTGAAACTATCATCCAATTGTATGAATGATATATTTGGTTCACCAGTTGTTACATATTAACTCGATCGATTCTCTGTTCGTAATTCTGTGTGTAGGCATCGTTGAGTGGCTGAAAACTAAGATGATACAGTTATCCATCAACTTCTGGATTTGATTTGTTCTTTCAATTATATCAGTTTACGGTAAAAAAAATTAACTTAAATTTAAACAATAACCACATGACTCCTATTGGAATATAAATACCGTTAACGTACTGATAGATTTGCTCCACCTTCACCACATTCATAATCCAAACCGGCATTAGTCGACCGAACCCAATCAGCTAAATGAGCAGATTCTATTGCCCGCCATAAATCAAAATCAGGTAGTTTACCGAATGGATCCAAGTTAAATCGAAGTGTACCAGCAAAAATAATTGGTTCCTAAAATTAAAATTAACCATAAAAAAACAAACAGTTTATTTTAGGACATTTTGAATAAAAAGTGTTTTTTTTTCTTGATAATTTGGCCCGACAATGACTCAATAAAGAGGGATATATTGCGATTGATAAAGAATGATCATTTTCATCTAATAAGATTCTTAATACTGACTAAAGTATGTAAAATTTACCAGTTGAATGCAGGATATAACTAATATGCTACGAAATAAATAGTACTACTGACCAATTGAAATGAATCCCAAACATCCAATGTCACGCTGACCATTCATTCTATTTGATTCTATTCTATTTGTAGTTTCGAAACCATTAAAAACAGTAAGTAGCACTATATACACAAATTTGAATTCGTACCTGTGGAAGAATACTAAATTTAGATCGAAGTTCATGTAGACCAATTCGTGACAAATCAACTCCATCAACAATAATTGGACCACGTTTAGATCTAATCTTTATTCTATCTTCTTCTAATATGGTAGGCTCAATTAAACGAAAGATACTAGATGCTAAAGACGATTTTCCTGCTCCAGTACGACCAACAATTCCTATACGACGTTCTTGTGGATTACCACTTAATTTGAGATCAATAGATTTTAATGCTGTAACTAATCGTTCAGAATTCGATGATGCATTTTGATTCATTGATAAGCCAGGATTACCGGACACTTTGTTCTTTGATGGCAAATGATATTGGACAGTAGCTTTGTTGAATGTAATTTCACAACAAGGTCTCGGCCAATCAATCGGAGGAGGACTATCCACTCCATGATCCCAGTCAGCTTCTTGTTCAACCTGAAAATAAAAAATAACGAAGAGACAGAATTTTATTTGACGATAGATGTTATTGAAACAAATAGTACAATATAAAACTCATACTGTATAAATGTCAATCATTCTGTAGAACTACATTGATCAAGACACATATTCACCTACATATTGTCTCTAATCTAAATAAGCTAAGTAATCCACTTTATGTTTATAAAAAATATTTATAATTTCTTATTCGTTCATGTTCACTTCAAAAAAACAATTTAAATAATCAGCTAGATAGATGTATAAAACGAATAAATAAATGAACAACTGATTAATTTATCTATGCTTGTTAGGTGAAGTAATTTATTCTGTTGATGTTATAAACTGTATACGTACAGTAATTTATCGATTAGTTTATGGTAACTAGTGTATTTCAATTAAACTAATGACGAAATAAGTATATCATGCATATTATATATATATATATATATATATATATATATATATATATATATATATATATATATATATATCAATGAATTAGACCAGTTCTCTGATTTATCTGTGATTTATGAATGAATTCTCATATTCACTCTTATCTTCTTCTCATGTAAAGTCGTCATACCAGTCTTTGACTCAGTTCCAATTATTCCAATGCTTCTCTTCAGTTAAAACAACACACAACATACTTTTTTTTAAAAAAAAGGCCTAATTCTAGTGAGATTGAAAACAATCTGACAGTACACTTGTGTAAGTATGAAACATATAACTATTAAAAATAATGGATAATAACCGTAAATTCTGTTAAAAGAAGACGCATCTAAGAATAAATAGTGATGAAGTATTTTTTTTCTTTAAACAAGAAATCAACTCATCAACACGTGAAAAAAATCATGTTTTATAGTTCAACCATTCATTCATTGCATAACAGCAGTCACAAAGTTAGGAGGAGTGAAAGACAGAACAGTGACAGCTATTGAATAGAGCAAAAAAAAGGTGCAGGTGCACACTTCCACCTCAATTAAAGTTAACAATATCAGATGAAAAATACAAGTTCTTTAATATTTACAAATTCTTGTATTGAAATCGACTAAATCAACTGAAATTATAAGCGTCAGTTGTCATGCACAAGTTATTAAATAATATTTTTTTCCTCTATCAATAAATAGCCTTAGAATTATTCATTGAACTTGTTATTAATGAGCGTTGAACTAGCACAAACATATATTAAAAATAATTTTAGCATTGATAAAAAATTAAATATATTTTTCCTTAATGAAAGAGTGAATATAAAAGTAGTGAAATAAGTTTGATTGTCAATCAATCAACCAATCAAATAAGCAAGTACCATTTAATATAATAATCACAAAAAAAAGAAAACTACTTACTCGAATGTATTCACATATTCTTTCTAATGAAACTGAACTAGTTTCCAATTGAGATAGCTGTTTAATAACCCATGTCAATGAATCAAATACTTGCAATGCATACACTATAATTAAACCAGCGATACCAGGTGATATGTTCGATCGATAAGCAACCAAAATCACAGCACATGTAAATACCATAAAACTAGAAGATAACTGAATTATTTTAAATTTTGAAAAAGAAAAATAAGAATTTCATAGAAATACAAGTGTTTCAATACTATAATAATAATAATAATAATAAATAATAAGTATAAATTAACAATTCTCACAAACACATTGAACCATAATCGATATTCAATTAAGATATCATTTATATGTGATATGTTAATAACAATTTACACAGGTGGTTGAGTTAAATAACCTAACTTACTAATGAAAAAAATTAAGAATCATTGTTAGTTAGTTAATGTAACATGAAATTATGAAATAGACTTATGGTGGTTGTAAGTGAAACAAACAATCATTTGGTTGAATTCAGCTGTATAAATTTTATTCGTAAAGCATCGACAGGATAAGCTGATTAGTGTTGGCAAATGCGACCTTTGAGAATTTTGTAAACATAAATCTTTGTTATTTCTACTTCGTCAATAAAGAGCTTTTAATGGGAATCAAATTGGGTGATAGCTTGTATATGTTACACAAATCTCAATAGATTTCGATAGTCATGTATCAAATCCGAAAATATTTCCTATGTGCAAAATATCATTTATTTCTTGTCTTATGCAAAGAATGTTAGCTAATTACTGATTATTTAAAATGCGTTTCTATCTGAAAGATCAATAACATAAAGAAGTGCTTTCCACTGCTGAAGGCAGACTGATTAAACTTAATTTAAGGGTAGTCATGATGCAAGCGCATACGGTTTTTCTGTAACTAAGTTTACATAGAAAGAACACGTTGATAAATATAGTTTCTCAAATTTTCCAATCTATTAACGCAATCATAGGTTATTAGTAAACACATTATCTATTGTGAAAACTAGTACACATTTGTCTCTAAATGATTTTCGATGGCAAACTAATGAAAACCAGGCAATATTTAAAAGAAGTTTAATAGTACTTTAGAAATTAGCCGTATTTTAAATAAACGACCTCATTAAAAATGAGCCCAGGAGTTTCAAACCTCACTCTGAGAGTTACATAGAAACCACTGATATAATAAATTACATTTTCAACTTCAATCGGTTTGCAAATTAGAACCATGATCATCTAATTCTGCCGTTAAAATCTACTTCATTTACAGTCGAAGTAAATCTGTGACGACAATTATCATAAAATAATCTATATGCGCATTTTATGAATCGTAAAAAAAAACAGAATGTTTAGATTTTGAACACACAAAAATACGCATATCATCATAGTAAAACATTCTATGAGAAAAAAAAAGGGGGAAAATTGAGAAACTAACATTTAAATGAACATCTAGCCATCGGTTAGCAATAAAACGAGTATACTCGAACACTGCATTAGTATCAATTAATTTATCAGATTTAGCAATAAATTCTTTATCACGTTTAAATGCGCGAACAACAGTTACACCAAGAGAAGAAGCTGACGTTTCACTATAATTCGTTAACAATGGTGAACGTGTATTTGCATCCAATCGACGTGTTTGTCTGACACACGGCATATAGAATAGTAACACAGTTATACAAAATATAAATACAGGAATAATCACTGCTAATCCTATACCAAATGGACGAAGTGTCACAGTAACAATTACTAGTGAAATCAAAACATCACCAGTAGTTCCAATAGTATCACTAAATGAATTCGGTATGGTATGATCTAAATTGTCCACATCATTACTGAATCGATTCAATATACGACCTAAAGGTGTATGATCAAAAAAACTAGCTGGCGCGTGAAGTATTTTCGATAAAAGTTGTTCATGTAGTAGCTACAATAGAGCGAGAAAAAAAAAAAGAAAGTTATGATTAACACTTAAATGTCAGGCAGCAAGTAAAAATTATGATTTAAAGAAATGATGTACTTTAATAAATGTCAACATAGACAATTCTTTAGTACATATTAACTTGATACAAATAGCAATTCTAGGAAGCATTTGTATACATAGAACCCAATAGATGTTAGAAAAAAGAATCACATTTCATTGAGGATACGTTGAATGAAATGTACGAAACCGAAAACTGTGTACCTAACTCCTTGAGGTCCAATCGTGCCAATTAAAACAGCATGGACAGTATTAAAAATAAAAGCAACAAATATGAGGTCTATGAGAGAAAACTTGGTGCCAAATGGGAGAGCAAGTTATTTACCGCAGACAATGAATAAGCGCGTCTACAACGAAAGAAAGGTTTAAGAAAGATCAGTTCTTAAAATAATAAACCTTACCTTTCGGGCCTCGACACTAAGCCTCAAATGTAAGGAGTTAACACAAGAAAACATCGTATCTGGAACGTTATGCGGTGCAAGTCAGATTTTAACCATATAAACTTAAATTTTGTTTTTTTTTTCCATTTCGAAATCCATCGACTAAAATTTAAATTTCCATTGACTTCGAAAGCAATACACTTCATTCAGTTTCAATCGCAATGTATGGTGTGTGTGACAAGTTCGAAAATAAGTGATTAAGATGAAACATAAAGCCTTTCAGGAACATTATATTCACTATACCATTTAACGACTAAATCAAAACCTATTACACTCAGTTATGACGAAATGTGAGTGAGAAATCAGTAGGTCGATAAGAATGATGAAAAATATCAACTACAGTAATTGCATGTTCGAATATTCTTATATTAAAAATGCTTTACTGGACTATCGTATCTATTTTCACATACATTATATTCACACATAAAATAACAATACTAGCAATACAAGACAGCCAAACGAAAGTATATGCATTCATGATATATATGTATATATATGAGAGAGAGAAAGAGAGAATACTTACACTTGAAGCTCTCAGACTAGAATATGCATTAAGCAGTGCAAATGCTAAAATTAACACTGTTTGACCTAATCCAGCCCATGCATAGCCTACAATGTAATATAATATTCTATTTTTAATCTGTTCCATCAATATCTGACGAGCAGTTTCATTACTAATTATGGTAGCATTTTGAAATGCTTGTTCAGCTTCAATCAATTGTTTATCATCTGCAAACCATTGTAACCAATAACTGCAAAATGCCTGTGAAGAAAAAGAAATCGAGGAAAAAGATAAAAATAAGAAATTACATATGAGTAATTTGTGTAATTTTTGTAATTTCACTGTGTTGTATAAAATGGATTGGAGTTATATTAGTGAAGCAAATTTAAAACAATTAGTTCGATTAATAAATTACATTAATTTTAATCTGTTTTGTTTTAAAAGATCTGATTAAAAATTAACCGGATGCCAATGCAGATAGTCATTCACTGAAGTGAATTATCATTACCCTGAGAGTCAGTTATACACAGCATTGAACTAAAATCACATGTGTTCATCAATTCAAAACCGACATAACCCATTAGCACAGAGAGATGAAAATCGTAAGGTCAAATTCCAGTGTAGTAAACACAGAAACAATAATAACCGTAGTAAAAAAACATAAGACATATAGACATATACACATATATATTATTCATCAAAATAACCTTAATTCACGTAGCCCCACAAAACAATTGACTTAATGTGACAATACTAACTTCGTATTTACGTCGTTGTTCAGCGACAACAAAAAGATTGCATTTACGAGAAATATGACCATCTTGATATTAGTACAAATGACTTTTTTATACTCTACTGTGATGTCTAAAAGTTGAAAGAAATCTGGAAATGTTTTGGAGTTAGGTTACGTACTATCGTCAGTAGTTCCTGTTTGCAATATTGAGGGAAATGATGAATCTAACCCACATAACCCAATGCCACAGCAACAGACGATACTGCTACCTATTCAATGACCATTTTATTTGCATAAAATGTTTGTTGAAAAGAATTTACAAATAAACATTACAATGAAGGGTCAACAATATCGAAAGTTGAGTCCGTGAAGAATGTTCAATTTTTAGCATATACGATGAAATAAGTCTATCATAAAAACCATACAAAAACAGGAGGCACTAGACAACTGTTTTGTCCTAAAATGTGCATGTTACTTTCCCAGAGGTCAAACTTAGGATCTTATGACGGCAGCTTAATATCCGAAAGACGAAGTTGATTCGTTTTTCTGAATCCAGACCATCATCCATTTCTATCAATGCCACTCCACACATCGTTGGATAGCAACAGTTTTGGTTTCTCACCAAACTTGCAGGAGTTTCCTTTCGATGTTAGCAAGTAGTGAGCAACATTATTATTGGTAGCATTGAAGGGAAAAACTGCTGTCCAATGCTTCCTAGCCCTCTCAATATTTTATTTTACCTTACGTGAGTTCATACAAAATGACTACATAATAAAACTCACCTGTACACCTAAGAATCCTGCGTACGACAGTATACTGATAAACGTAACAGATACACTCCGAGCAAGGAAATACTGCCAATAGGTTGACCACGATACATGACCATGCATGATTTCTTCATCGGTCATAAATTTTCCAAGTTCAAGATCATCATTTTCAAATTTATTATCATCTGAAGTACTGGCACTTGAATTTGTAACATTTATACTAGTTGCAGAACAACGACGAGTCACCTCCTGTTCAGGTAAAAAATCAATCAAATCATTTGACGCTTCACCAGTAGCCATAAACTGAATGATTCCCGGAGAAAAATATGATAAAAACAGAAAACTAAAGTAAGAGCTACATGAATAATTATGAACAGTAACATAAGAATAGTTTAAATTGATAGAAATATTTATAAAATCTTCAGTTACTGTATGTTTTTAGATTTCTATTCCTCAGGTAAAATGAAAATAGATTTATTTATTCAAAAAATAAAATAAAATCAGTCACACTTTAGTTTTTAAACTCAATTGACAGGCATACAGTTGACTGAACTTAAAATAAATATGATCAATTTAAACTTCACAAAAGTAAACACATTAAGAACTAGTTAAAAAGAAAGATATAACATGTTAAAACTATAATACAAGAATATAAATCAGCATAGAACATTTAAGAGCATTTATAACCTCAAACGTTGATTTCGATACATGCTTTATTTGTGAAAGTTTTAAGTTCTGCAGGATCAAAGAAATGAAAAGAAAAAGTGAACTTTTTCAAATTCTCAAAATCTATGTTGATAGAGTTCTCATAGTTTTGAGATCAAATCATCCAACTGAAAGAATATGACACGTTTATAATCATCAATCATGTATTATTAAAGAACAACATATGGTCAACCTTGTATTTCCTGCAGCTTTAGTGTGACATTCCCAAGTGTCACTAATCAATTTACTGAGATATCATTCTACGATGCCATTATGTACCTACCAGTTTGGATTAACGTGCAAATTATACCAAGTTCTGCATGGCTTATGATTAACTGAACTTAGATTAAAATTTAAAATCGCACATACATTTCAAAATATTGCTTCAATGCGCAAATAAATAATTAATCTCAAAAAAAAAATAACACTTTTACCTGATGATCATTATTTTCATGTTTTGCAATAGTAGTTGTTATATCAGAAAAATTAATGAATTTTGAAAATGAAACAGGTGTTTCTAGTGATAATTTTTTTGTTGCATTCATTGGTGGACTGCCAGACAGCATTCTTATACGATAAGATGAACTAGGCGCCTAATTTGAGTGAATCAATGAAAAAAATATGTATAAATAAATAAATTCTCTTCTGAATGCCATGGGAATCATAAACAAAAAAAAACGGTTTGCTTCACAAAAAAAAAATAAAATTAAGAAGAAAAAAAGAACACTCATTCAACTTGTAACCCGTGGAATTTTTATTAGGATTATAATCTAGAAATAAGCCTAGTTGTGAATAGAAAAAAAATTTAGAATGATAGATAATTTTTGTACAGATTGCAATTACAATTGATAATAATAATAATAATAATAATCATAACAAAGAATCATGATTTGAAAATGTTCGAAAAATATCAAAAAAAAAAAAACAAAACAAATAAATCTTATATGTCGGCAGTGTGGTGGTGGTACACACTGGCATAACCTGGAAAGTTATAAACCAATAGTGTCCTGAAATCAGTTACTTGATCCATAAATAAATAAATCCACTGAATCATTGCGAATATATCCATCAATCAGCTGATTTTGTTTTTCGTTTCTCACCACGGTTTCAACCAATCACATGAAAATTTTGTGTCGTGAAATTGAAAAATACCCTCCCATGTCACCCATCACAGTAGGTTACTGATATATATATAAATAATTATACATTTCATCAAAAAATAAAATAAAATAATCACTATATTACAAATTAGTTACAATTTTATTACTACTTTATGCGAATCGATTTTGTCAAACGTCCTATCAGAACAAAACATATTTATCAAAAACAGGTTTTGCAATGTTTGTTTAGATACAGTGCATGGACTGACTGTTTGTACATTGAATTAAATTACTTCACGTAACTGAATCCACTCAAAAATCTAGGCAAAGCAAGAAAGACAATACTAACAGAATATACATTGTAGTTTATTGCTTTCGCTTTTGCTACAACATACAACACGTTAATAAGTTTAGTTTATTGAAAATTATTTACGCTATGTTGAGAAACGATTTATTAATCAATAACAAATAAGTTGTTGGAAGCGTAGTAAATAAAGAGAGTTTAACAACTGAAATTTCAACAAGGGCTTCTGCAACTGTTTCAAACTGGAAATTTTAAAATGTTAAAAATAATTTTATTGCGTAACATAACGAAAATGTTTTAGGAAGTTTAGGCAGAGAAAGATATGCGAGTTCGATTCAGTAGGCTGTGATTACAATCATTTTAAAAAGTCAAATTATTCAATTTGTTTCAGTTATATGAGGGCAACAATCCAATATTAACAAATTATCAATTTGGAACGCAAAGAGTAGGAAAAGGTCTAATTGACTGCTGAATAATATGAACAAATGCTCGTCTATGCATATATGTATTCACTTCCTCAGAAAAGAAAGCCATTTCTTAACCAGTAATATGTATTTTTTGTTTAGGACATTTTCTGATGGTCGTTTAATGACCTCACCATTAATCAGGTCACTACTTCTGATTGTCTCAGTACATCAGTAGGTTCATGTGAACATGTTCGATAAAACGAGGAGTCAACCTTTTTCTTCTACCCATTTACAAGTATATATGTATGTATGCAATTGGAGGTGTTGTATGACAGATATTCATCAACTTTGCGTTATTGAACATAATGCTGTGTTTAGTTTGAAACCAATGTTGTTTTTTTTCCAAAAATTGCTTTAAGTCTTTAACTTTATTTACAGTTTGGTCACCACCTTTGAACGATAATCACCTAAAAACAAGCTTCTTTTCGGGTATGTGAAGAAACAGCAACTATACACAATGAATTCAGAGTTTGCAGCAATCTTTGTTATTTTTAGTTTGCTTAAATTATGTTCATAGATTAAATCAAGTTCTAGGTTGACGAAAAACAGAACAATGTTATAAATATGGAAGTTAAATGGATTGATAATGATCTGTAAAGTAAATTATTCATTGACTAATAACGGATTATTTGATAGACATCAGTAAAATTATAAGAATTCGATTCAGTATACATTCCTGAACAAAGAGAATATGAAGAAGATATATATGAACCGGCACTTTTGAATAATGATAAAACATCCGTTCGATGGAACCCTCTATTAAATAATCCACTATACGATGTCAATATCCCTGGTAAGAAAAAATAACTTTCAAAGAAAAGAATGTTCTTTTAATCTGAAATTTGCTTACAACCTATAGATTTACAATTAATGACAGGATACTAGTATGGATTATTGGTGGAAATAATGTTGTAAATAAAATCAATAAACAGAGAATAGTGCGATAAAATGAAAAGACATAAAAAAATCTAATTACAATAGGGTCTTATCTAACAAATTAGTTAAATTTGCTAGAACACTACAAAAGCTAAAATTAAAATGAGCTTGTATATATATACAAAACTTTATTAAACTTACAACCACTACACTAGAGGAACGGTTAAAGCGCGATGTAAATGAAATCTTCCTCTGGTTATCTTCGTTCATCTTCACTAAAAAGTAAGAAAATGAAAGTTGTGGTGTACGTTGTATCAATGAAATCTAATAATATTGTGAGTATAGGGTTGCAGAGATTGTTGAGCTTCAGCGAAATCATAAACTGATCAAGGTAAGTTCATCACTGTTGATCCGAAAGCACTGTACGGGCGTTTCGTCCAGGTGTGCAACTCCTCACAGCAGTGTGGATTTACGTCTGCACACGCGAGAAACAAAATCTTCAGTAAAGCTCACGAGAACAGATATGGAAATCTATGTATGGTTTAAATGGCGACTATCTAATTACAAGGAAGATCAATAACCTCAGGTACAATTAAGCAGAATAATGTATGACTTAATAATCTAAACATAATCAAAATACAGAATCAATGGAAAGAAACGAAGATTAAGTTTAGTAAAATCAAACATTTCGATTGATGTATCATGTTTGCTGAATTTCTAATTTATTAAAATAGAATTTTCCAAGAGAAATTTGTAATAATTTTTTTCTACATTACACTTTCCAGATGATTAATTTTAGTCAAGAAATGTTTGTTCTAATGTCTGTCTTAATTCTCATCTAAGATTATTATTAAACTAAATCATAGAAAAACCATTCGAAACAAAATATCATTCATTGAACAAGTGTTCTCAATACTAGACATACAGAGGAATATTCGAAATTAGTAAAGTTTTATCTCAGATAAGCACAGAACTGAGTTCTTCTTTTTCCGAAAAAAAAAACATCTTCATAAATAATTTCCGCTTTTACAGATCTGATAGCGAGTACAATTTGCATACATTAACTTACAAAATATTTGAGTTTAATATTAAGATTTCTATAGTCAAATATCGAATGAATTAATTGCTCGAGTGAACATGAATGTTATACAAAGAGAGTTGTTATACAATGTATCACTTACTTGTTTCATCGTCTGTCTTATTTTTCTCAAACGACTCTAGATAATCAGCAAAATGTCCAGATTCACTATGTACAACTTCCTATAATACATAAAAGAAAATGGTAAAGAGAATACAAAGAATGCCCTAAAATGAGATTCAGTAAAGCATTTAACATAGAAATATTGTTTTGGAGTTGACGGGATCAAAACATCTGACCGATTAAGCAATAATGGGTTATTTAAACTACTAGACTACAAATAAATGAATTACTAGTGTTGACAAATAAAAGCAGAGAATAGTTATTGATCTGCCAGCATGAACAGCATGGATACAGATGGCTTTATTTGAAATTTCCTGTTCTTTATTAATAATGGAAACAGTAAAATAATGATATGCAATTGATATTTTAATGAGTAGAAATTACGATGTCCAACTGATACTAATGATGCTTCACATAGAACCACGTTGACTAAAATGCACATGAAATCGATATAATCAAATTGATTTCAGTTTTAACTGAAATGCCACTCTATATAATATTTAATGAAGTTAGTTTATTAGTTAATTTAATAACTGAGATAAAGAAAGGTCAAGTCACAAAACGTTAGAAATTCTAATGTTTACTCATTAGGATAACACACCAATATACCATTGTTTCGTTATCAACATTCTACAATACTCAATTTTATTTGAAGCTCAAACTTTGGTTATGTTACTTAAAATATTAGTTCATCAGAAAAACTATCAAACAATGGCGCAGGTGCATTTACTCTTTGTGTTCTATGAAATTCTAACCTTCTGGATTAATCATCACCTCTATCTTTCTCTTTCCAAATTTACCTCACTGAATCATACTTCTTGAATAACATCTTTGAACCCTAATCTCTTCGATTACTTCTAATACTTTTACTACCTCTAACTACTATGGGATTTGAATTGACAATTACATCTCTGAACTAACGTGGTATGGTAACTTGAACTTTGAAATTTTGAAGCAGATAATCCTTCGATAGGAAAACAGCGAAACAGTCTAAAATCGAACCTTAGTCATTTACAGGAAGTTCTAGAATCTGAAGTTAAGCTAAAGATCCAAAATCACATCACTCAGCAGAATATTTAGACAAGGTAAGACTAATTCACACAGAATTGATATAGAGAGATAAGGAGATTGATGTTCGAGTAGTAACTTGTTCTGCCTAGTTAATGTTCTTGAAATAATTGACGTATTCCGAGCAAAAACACGTACGGTACACAATTTAATACTATGCTGCAAATATTTACATCAAACAGTATACTATGTAAATGAATGTATTAACAAATTTAAATTCACTTACATTATACGTTCCAGATTGTATAATTTGACCATTCGAGTTTAGAACAATAATCCAATCAGCAGAAGATAGCCAATGATATGAATTTGTTGTCATAATTCTAGTTTTATCTTTTAAAAGACCATTTGGACCTAAAACTTTATCGAATAAATGTTTGCCAACATGTGCATCGACTGCTGATAATGGATCATCTAATAGATAAATATCTGAACGCTGTTTTTTTTTATTTTATTTTTTTTTGGAAATAAAAAAAAGTGAACTAACAAAAATCAACGAATAATCTAATGTGAATTTTTAAAAAATAATCAAAAATTATAACACTATACAAAACAGACTTAAAATGAAACATGAGAAAATATTAATGAACAAAAAAAGTGTTTGAATAATGGAATGGAGCAAGTTGAAGAAAAACGAAACCAGTACACTGCCTCAGTCACCTTGTCTGAACGTAGCTAGCTATAAGTGGTGGTCACTGAAGAAATGGTAATTCGGATGTCAAATTTACGGAGTTAACTGATAAATTAATGACATACAGGCCAATTCAAGGACGTAAGTGAATTTCTAGTCAGGAAACTAGCTACACTGTTTGGAAAGGTATAACAAACAGAAAGTCTTGTATCAATCATTATAGAATAAAGAGAATGCCGTACCTATCATTATTATAAACAGCTTACCATAGAATAAGATTACTTTAAATCCCATTTAAAACATAGGCTTGCATCAAACCAAGTGCACTGTACAAAAATCATGAACAATTAACTTGAGAAGAGCAAGGATAATCGATGGATTGATTACTTCATTACCGAATGAAACAAAAGGATTACGATCATTGTAGACCAACAATCTCTGACTTATTTGACGTTAAACCAGACTTTACTACGTTGGACAGATTTAAACTTCAGTTTTATTTTAAAGGAAGCTATCTAAGAGGAATTTCATAAGAAAACTTAATAAAAGACACGTTCTCGTTCAGTTCTTCGAATGCATTACACCTATTTTGTATGATTTAATCCTGATAACCTATTATGACAAATGTTTTATGCCATTAAAAAAATGGAATACTAACAATTATCAAAGACTAGAACCTCATACTTCAGCTACATCGATCTAACCAAATCGGTAGTCTCATCAACTTATAACATCAAACACATGAATCTAATACTCGGATTCTGAGTGACCTATACTACAATATGGTCATGAAAATAGGTGTTTAAAGCAAAATTTAAAAAATCCTTTCGATAAATAACAACCATTGGTAACAGAAATATTCTTACTGACCTATTTAAACTTTAAAATCAATCAAAATATTTGACGATACTAAATGACTTGGCACACTTCCATACATTTTGAATTTGTATGGGTTGCTTCTAGTTAAAAGTAACCCTCAATTAAATGTGATTTTTTCTGTTTTTCATTTTCAAATCAATGATACAAAATAATTTCTTGTTTTTTATATATCAGTTAGCCAATTTTAAAGAATTTTCTATTACTCATAACATGATGATACAATTTTTTATTATTCTATAGTGCCAAATAAAATAGATGTGAAACAATTGATGGAAATAGATAAATAATTGTAGGCTGTATGCAGTGTGTAAGTTGATAGTAATTTTTGTCGATTTCTGATTACGTAATTTACTGCGTAACGTAATAAGTGCATTGTAGGAATTTAGAAAAAATTATAATAGTCAATGCAGAAAGTGCAACTTTTTTCGCATTCTATGCTCTTCTACATGTATAACATCAAAATGTGAAATAAATTTACCAGATTGAAAAAGAAACAAAACAAATATTTATTATTCCTTAATGATAAACCGTTAAAAAAGAACAGTTGTAAACATCAAGCATCAAGGTACTTGTGAGACTTACTCCTAATTGTAGTGTTACGAGCGATAGTGATTCATTCCATTTTGGATAGTTTTATGTGCTATAGTGGAGTTAATTGGTTTAAGAAGGGTACAGTACAATGTTCCGTTTAAACCGTCTTTGATGCCCTAGCTTATCCAATCTAATGATATTCGAAACCTCCATGGGTTCAAACATGGATTCAAACAGAGCTATTTCTACAGAAACAACATGTACGCAATCTAGAGGAATTTCTTGGTAGTTTGAACAAGCTCTATGCATTTCCTTCTATGTTATTTAGTTAGGAAGGAAGTTTTAACTTAAAAACCAAAGTAAAACAACAGTTTGACTAACAAAACTATTAAAATGAATAAATAATTGAAAATGTATAGTATCGATCAATATAGCAAGAATTTGACCGTCAAACGTTTTTAACAGCTCATCATATTGTATCGCAATCACTTTAAATGTATTCAAAAATTTTAACTGAATTGCAAATTCGCACATTTTCCTGTGAATATTTAGAATTTATTACACAATAAACAGTACGACGCAACATACTTGGGAGGCTAGTGATTAGATGACTTTAATAAAAACGTCATTTGAATAATAGAGGAGTGAACAGACACTAGCGAAACGTTTCTGCATCATGCATAACAGCCTGTCTTAACTTGCTTGGGACCTATTATTATAAAACCTAAGAAATAAACTGTAAGCGAACGTAAAAATTGTAACTGAATACTGAATATGCAGTTAATTCAAGTGTTAGAAAACTGTTAATTGCAGCATAGTCAAAAAGGAAAGGAAGCAAACATTTAGTAAATGTACGGGGGTATGTCGAGCCCACATGGCTTGTCCTAGTTTTCGAAAAACCAAAATAACTTTTCTATCCAAGTTACTATTTGCACGTCTTCTGACCTTGTCTATTATTCACTTATAGCCTTGGTTGTTTTTACCTGATTGCATATGTTTATTGCTTGATTCGCTTAGCACATGTCTAGCATATTTTTACCTAATGTGAACACTTAGTCGTACCTGTTCAATAGAATTGGCTGAATCGACTTCTCAACTTGACCATCTCACTTTTTATTCTCATATGTGTGTCGGTGTGAGCGATTGCATGACATAAAAACTCATCTAACTTAATCAGTATTTAGTTTCTTATTACCGCCGTTGCACAATAGGGGTTTCCATAAGAATGATATACAGAAACTGAAGATTAGATTTATTTCATAGCACATTCAACTGTTCGTCTAAACTGGAGTCAGATTGCGAGTCGTTGAAATGTTCTGTGTCCGAGTACCATCAAGGTGAAAAAGAGGAAAATACAGAAGATGCAACAAATAAAGGGTAAAGACGAAATTTACTGATATCCTTTTCTTTGTAGTGCATAGTTGAAATTTGAAATTAAATTTAAAAGTGATTAGTAAAAAACAAAGGAGGTTTTTCTTACATTATGTACACATGTAACTCCGCCGGGGGGCCTTTTAAGGTTACTGCCGGTCAGTAGCCACGATAAAAGAGTAGGGTAGAAAACCAACTTGCTAAAAAACGCTAACCACAAAAAATAATTCAAACCATTTAAACTAATAAAAAGCACTGGACAAGTGGTCGAACAACATCACAAAAGCTTAATACATCACATCTTCCGCTCAATAGTAAACAAATTGAAGACAGCTCTCTACAGTAAGTTCTAAGCCTCTCAGTAGAGAAGAAGCAACCATGGAGAACAATTGGAAATGGGTCAAGGCGGCAATCACTTCAACATGTGAGAAGGTTCTGGGCCACAAGAAGCACCATCACAAGGAATAGCTTGCTGTTGATATTCTGGATAGTATTCGAGAAAGGAAAAACAAAAAGGCAGCAAACAATATCAGCCAAACAAGGGCATAGAATTCTAATACACAAACTGAATACACAGAATCAAATAAGCAGCTGAAGGGGAGAATCAGAAATGATAAAAATAAATATGTGGAACATCTGTCAATGATAACAGAAAGAGCTGCGACAGGAGGATACATGAAACAACAACAAAGAAGATCGTTGGAAAATATCACAAAACAGGACAACTAGTCGAAAACCGGGAGGGTAAAGTAGTCTGCGACATTGAAGAACAGCGAAACAGAGGGTAGAGCACTTTAAAGAACTCTTAAAATCAACCAGTCTCACTTGATAAACCCAACATAGAAGCAGCACTCAACACAACTCCCACCAACAATAAAAAGAATCAAAATGACCATTGGACAAATCAAGAGTGGTAAAGTAACACAAGAGCAACATACCAGCTGAGACACTGAAAGCAGACATAGCAGTAACTGCAAAGATGTTTCACTCTCTTTCTTCAGTAAGACTTAGGAAAACAAGTACCAACAGACTGAGAAGAATGACACCTCATCAGGAAAGAGATCCCAGCAAGTGTGAGAACTAAAGAGACTCTCTTAATACCAGAAAAGGTCTTAAACAGAGCACTGTTAAATAAAATAGATGCCCAACTTCGAGATAGGCAGGCTGGATTCCACAAGGACTGGTCGTGTACTGACAGAACCGCGACACTACAGATCATTGTGGAACAATCAGATTACTTAACCATGGGAAACCATCTAATAGAGTGGACAAAACGAAACCACGAAGGCTTCTTAGATACTACGGCATGCCTGAGAAGATAGTCAATATCGTACAAAATTCTTATGAATGGATACACTGCAAAACGTGCACAGTGGACAGCTGACAGACTCGCTTCAAGTGAAGACTGGTGTCGTGTAAGGTTGCTTAATCCCTTTCTCTACCTCCTGGTGATCGACTGGATTATGAAGATATCAAAATCTGGAAGAAACACAAGATACAGTGGGTAGCTCGGATGCAGCTGGACAATTCGGAATTCCCAGGTGATCGAGCCCTTCTATCTCACACAACGACGAATGCAGATAGAGACGACCGGTGGAGCAGCAGTAATCTCTGCATCAGTAGGCCTCAACATTCACAAGGCAAAAGCCGTGTTGTACACAACAAACACTAACCATATCACACATGATGAGAAACCTATCAAAGATGTGTGAACCTTTGCATACCTGTGCTTCATTATTGATTAACAAGAAGAACCTGATGCATATATAAAGACAAGGATTAGCAAAGCAAGGGAACATTTCCACAGTTGGAGAATGTCTAGGACTCAAAACAATCGTCAACCAACACCGAATCCAGAATTTTCAGTACAAATGTCAAGACAGTTATTTTATTTATTGTATAGAGCACACTATTCACTATATATAGGTATTTATAAACGCTTGTCTAGGCAAGACACCGCCAATCTGTTGGCCAGACACGATCAATAACAATCTAATGTAGGAGAGAACGAGGGAGATTTCAACTGAGGAAGAAATCAGAAAAAAGTTATGGAGATGGATAGGACATATATTAAGGGAATCATCAAATTGTGTGACAAGACGCACTCGCACTTGTAACTCTCATGGCCAAAGGAAAAGAGTAAACCAAGGAACACCTTGAGCGGAGAATGGGGGACAGATATGAAAAGAATGACTATCAATTAGGAAAAACTGGAAAGGAAGGCGGGAGACAGAGTTGGTTGTAGGATGTTAGTCGTCGGCCTATGATCCATGAGGTGTAAAAAAAACCTGAAACTGAACACTTAAAAATTGAGTAGAAAAACTGTTTCAATCATGCTAACCTGATATACAGCTCTAGCTAAACTAACACGTTGCTTTTGACCTCCAGACAAATTGACACCTTTCTCGCCAATTTCCGTCTTATCACCAGCGGGAAGATGAGCAATATCAGTTTCAAGAGCACAAGCAGAAATAACATTTTTATACCATAATTCTTCAATTTGCTCTGCAACTGGGTTCGACTGAGTATCACTGGTTATGACAAAACGAATATTTTCTCGCAGAGATTGTTGTTGTATCCAGGCTGTTTGTGAAACATAAGCAATGGAACCCTGAAAAATACATATTGTTCGAGGGAAAGAAAAAGAAATTATAATTTCCCAAACAACATACAGTAAGGTCGTTTGTAAGAAAACAAAGCAAGAATGATCGATGTGTGTTTGAACTAAAAGTTGTCACACAATAACATATAATTGAAAATTATACTGGTAAATTCATTGAATGCATGTTAGCGACGGCAATTGTTCACACGGTATGTTACTTTTAAACATATGGTAGTTTGATTAATACTTTGCATTTAAGCATGTTACCTTACTTCGTTAACACAATTTTTTGGCTAAAAAGTTACGTTTTTTAAATCCATGCAGCCCAAATTAGATTTTCGTAGGCGATTGTCACTTAAACACGCTTCATGTCGATTTAAGCAAAAACTGAAAATCTGGAAATGAAAGGTTAACACATTCTAATTTTAGATTAGAAAAACAGAAAACTTCAATCACACTGTTACAGATGAGCTAAAAGACATAGGTTGAACCAAGGAAGAATACAAAGACAACAAATGAAGACATAAACATTAGCTCAAAAACTACACCTAAATACAATGTCTCATAACTACGTTTCAGATAAATTAAACAGAGTAGCACTTCACGCCAGTTGATCAACACAGGTTTCAACTAGAAATGGTTTGGATTATCCCATTTTTAATATTTTGACTGAAATTTGATCAGTCTTAGTTGGCATATAGACATCTTACGCCGATTGTCCCAATATAGCGATTATGAAACAAGTCTACGTAGAACAGATACAACTTGGATAGCAGTGAAATCCAAGACGTGCGTTTTACCCTATTTGGGACGCGTCAGCTGGATGTACCTGTATCTCAGAGCTGATATTCACTCCAGCACTCGAACACAGTACCGTTCTCCAAGAACTTCACAGTGTTATCCACTTAGCTACAAAGTCCAGATAGCCACTCACTTGTTCGACGGGTATGAGACTTAATTCATTTTTAAAATGGAACTCTTAGATGCAGGTACATTCAGCTGACAAGTCCCCAAATAGGATAAAACGCGCGTCCTGGATTCCACTGCTAGCCACGTTCTATCTATTGTATATCAATAAATTACAGTATCATTAGGTTAAACTGCTAATAATTAGATAGCATTATAAAATTATTGATATATATCACTTCCAACCTGAAACACATACACACACTGAATTGCTTGAAACGAAAACAATAAATACCATGCAATAATAATGAAAAATTACAAATAGTCAACGTAATCAACAAATGATTCGTGCCAACTAGTAATGATAGAACAGTAGGATCGTTTTGCAGCATTTTTGGTAATAAAGAAAAACAGTCTGTTGTTCAGAATACCTTGTTGATCTGTCTAATTATTGTGTACAGATTAAAACATTAGTATCGTTTTGGCCAGATTGCTTGACACAGTCTGAGAGAACACTGAACAGTTAAGGAATAAAAAAATCGCTATCTTAACATGTATTTCTATATTAATTTAGTTATAGAACATTATTCATGTAAACAAATGAATTAAGAGATTTAATTTCTAGGTCAACACCCCGATAAAACTAGTAAATGACATTTTAGTTAAATCAATACAAGTAAGTGTTAGGCATATTTACTCGAAATTCTGAAAAATATAATGATTACATCCAAAACATGTTTCTCTACATTGATCCGTCGACTTTATTTTACTCTAATTATTGGACTGTCAGAGTATTCTTTTTTATCAAACGTGCTTAATGAAACACAAAAGCATCTCTGAGTGACAATTCATGCAATTTCGATCAAACAGCACGTTAGCCAAGCTTCTACATTTCATGTAAACTGATGAACGTTTATAGTAAGGGAAAGAATACATCTTCCTATGAGCACAACTACTTTGACATAATCATTTATATTGTTGATGGAATTATTCGTTGACTAAACAAATAATAAACAATGAACATAGATTAAAAATTGTCAGTTTTGTCAGGTCTAAGAATCGAAAACTTGAGATAGTAACTTCTCAGTCGATTTATAGACAATCACCACCAATCTATGTGTTCCGAAGTTTGAACAACTAGAAATGAGGTTAAACGACTAAAACTATACAACAAGGTTTACAGAGATAAAACAAAACAAACATTATCCCTTTGGTCTTGTAGCTTCGAAAACTTAGAAAATATGCTGAAATTAACAGTTATATCTGATCAGACTAAGAAGGCGAAAATCAACTTCATTACCAAATTTAAAACAAATTTACAGTAGCATTTGATTGTCAAAAAATTATTTTCAACCTGTGCATGTTCATATTAGGATTTCAAGAACAAAATTTGACATTTTCTATAAACTTTCTATAAACAATTAAAGATAAATAATTTTCCTAATATCAATATACTTAGCTTGTAAATCTTATACAAGCAAAGTTTTCTATTGATTAGTGTATGAAGTATGCACTGAACTCATAGAGAGTTAGTGCAAATTTCCTAAAAAGTCAAGATTTTCTTCATAACTGATAAATCTATCATCTAAAGTAGTTACTAATTTTACAAATAAAAGCTAACCAGACTTTCTTCAATAAAGCATGAAAATGAAATAGTTTAATCAAAGTAATACATACTATATAACTTGAATATTAATACATTGAATAAGTATGAATTCACTAACTTTCACGGAAACCTTTCCACTACGTTTGAACATGTCAGATAAACAGGCTGATAAGAAAGATGATTTTCCAGAACCTACATTGCCAACAATAGCGACCAGCCACCCACGAGAGATACGTACATTCAAACTAGTAAAGTAAAGAACAAAAATCAACTGATAAAGCTCATGTTATATAAATCGATCAGCAAACTCAACTTCAGTAGTTATGTTACGAAATGGGATTTGAGACACTGCTAGGGGCGGCCAGACCAAAACATGGCAGAAATCCATGAAGTCATTCACGAGTGGACTGAGTCATGTCGGTAGTTGTCGACTACCTGGTTGGGGTCCGCGAGATGATGATAATCGATGGTTAGAGACCTTGAATGACATGGCTCAAAATCGTTTGCAATGGCGCCGGTGTATTTATTCTTTGTGTTCTCTCAAACCCTAATCTTCTGGATTCTTCAACAACTCTAGTTTTGACTTTCTAAACTTTTCTCACGTAATCATACTTCTTGAATAATATCTTCTCATCCTAACCTCTCTGATTACTTCTAATATCTCTACTACCTCAACCACTATTGGATTTGAATTGACAATTGCATCTCTGTGCTAATGCGGTATGGCAACATGAACTGATGTACTTACGTACGAAGTTCTACGTTGCATCTGACTGACTGACTGACTGAGACAATCCACAAAATAATATTAAGATATTTTAATAAAGTCAGGTAATGACTGTAGCTGGAATCTAAGACATACTTTTCACCTCATTCGGAACTTCTCAGCTAGCTGTAGTTCTGTTCGCTCGGGGATTTTAACCTAGTACATTTTGCTTTGAATACCCAAAGCTTATCCACTGAGACGCTGAGTTCACATAGTCACTGGCTTGTACAGCTTGTAAATCTATAGTTATATCGAGGTAGTTCGCTAGGAATGCACATATACTAAGGAAGTGACTGATAAATTACAAACACTTACAAACTTAACATTGAATTTAAATTAAACCTTCCTAGATGAGTGAAAACCCTCAACGATAAATAATCTACACACATTCTAATTCACAAGCTTATGGTGAATTGATATTAAATGCTTAAAAACTTTACATGCATTTATTAATTTCAATGATTTTGCTTACTTTTGCAAAACTAATGGACCTGTTTTAGTCCATGAAAATGAAGCATTCTCAAATGTAACCGCATCTGATGATTCTAAAACAAAACAACGAACTTGTTATACAGGAAATAAGCATTGAAAGTCATTTAACATAACTGAACATGATATTTAAAATTGTAGAATATTTAACATAGAGCAAGAATTTAACAATATCAAACAAAGTTTTATTTTGTATCTTCAACAAGCAAAGTTTTTTTCTTTATATTTAACAATCATAAATTTGTAATCAGATATCTAAAAGTTTTCTTAATACTAAAATCGGCATATTGACGAGTTTGAACAGTACATGAATAATACTATCCGTAAATGTTTAGTGCAATTGATGATGAATAAAAAAAGTGTTACTCAACTTTCTTACAGAAAAAGGTGAGTATAAAAACTTATTTTCGATTAAATGATATAATGAACTAAGGAAATAACATATTTTGAAATGGATTCCAAGTTCATCTTAAGCCAGTCGTCAATGATTTAAATGTTTTTAAGACTATTTTTTCTAAAAAAAAAAAGAACATCATCTAGTTGTATCCTATATAAACTGACTGTTCAGGAAACAATCAGAGTTAGCGCTTTTTTCCACTATGTCATGAGAAATAACTTCAAATGTCAAATATGATAAGCTCAAGCACTTCAAAGAATAAGCAGGTGATTGAAGTGCCTGAAGTGTGATAAATGACTGTTATCGATTATGTTGTGAACTTGATAAGATAACTACTACTGCAAAACACGAGAAGCAACATTTGGATGTCGGTAATGCATGAACTTATTATATGCAGTTTCATTGCATTGGCCGTATACTTTTCACACTTTATTACCTATCGACCAATCGTGAGAAGGTGAGAACGCTGCATATATCAATATAGTTCAGGAGAAACACAATTTTTCTGTCTTATCTGTGTAGACAACTTTAGCTATAAGGTTAATCTGTTGGTTATAATTGACAATGAAAGACACGGAAAACATCATCTGAAAAATATAAACTACATTAATTCAGTGTATTAAGTATTCTTATGTTCCTTGTTTTTGAGTGAAACAAGTCAGTAGAACCGTTGATAAAAGAATATAATTTTTGAATTATTGAATTTAGTTATAGCGAAAAACAAATAAAACAATCAATATACAATCACAAATATTTCATCATTTTGGGGTTTTGAAGATTATTAAGTTACACATTTTGAAAACATGAATTAAAACAATACAGAATCAACAGTATTAAACTGTGTGATATTATAACAAATATGTTTTTTTAACACACATTTAGAATGTAATATTAACCAGAAAACATGTTTTCCATTAATCACAGTTAGTTATCACCCATCCATAGTCAATCATATTAAAGTTTTCTATCGGGTTCAACCATTACAACTATGTTTTGTTCATCTACAGTATAGATGCTTTAATTTCAATAAATATTTATGTCTCACTTTGCTAAAGAATAAATAAACAGGAAAATATGCATTTTCCTGCGTTTAATATCGCAGTACGAAATAAACACATGAATATAAAGTTAGTATTCATAATGACAGTGTTCAAAGATTAACCTCCATCCACGCAACTAGTAATCATCAATCTAGTTTACAAAACAACAATAATAAAAATAAATTACCACTATTATTATTATTATTATTGTCAGTCTTACAAATACAGTTATTTATTTATTTGCAAAAACATCGAACATGAAAATTAGTAGGCTCATAAAATCGCTCATACTTACTTTCATCCAGTGAATAATCATTGTTATTAAAGGAATAATATTCTAACTCATCAGCTAAAAGAAATAATCCAAGACGGCGAATTGAAACAAAGGCCTACAAAATGATAAGTAAAGAAAAATGATGAAACGTAAACACACCTAGTGGTTTCATTAAAAACAAATTTTGACAAAACTGAACGTAATCAGTCAAAAATAACGTAGAACCCTAGGCAAAAATGTACGAACAATGAACAAATTGAATGTCAGACCAAATACTAATAAACCAAAAAAAAAGTAATATCTTACAGTGGAAGGCTGACTAATACAGAGCAAAACGCTATACAATAGATTTAAGTTCTAAATAATAAAAAAGTCACATATGGTCAATAAAATAATATGGACTTTATACTAAGCGACGTAACAAATCTTTTATAAATAGTTATGCATTAAAATAACGTCATTAATTCCATTGCTTCAAAACTAGACCTGCCTTAAACGAGACGAATCAATATCAAAATTAAACTTTAATTCATCAAAATGGAAAAGAGAATAAAAAATGACAGATCCATTAACATTATTAATTGTCTAGCTTAATAACTTTCAAACAGGTTACAGACTATAATTTAAGAAAGATTATGCTAAAAGCAATAATGATGAATAGAAGATTAACGTTTATGAAAGTGACTTATAATGTCTGAGATCACACAGAATAGAAAAAACAATTGTGCTATACATATCATTCAACAATGTAAGAAGTGAATATTAAATACAATAGAATTTAAGATTAGTTAATAATATATAAATATAGACAATCATAAATGTATGATAAATCTCACGATTTGTATAAAAACACTACAAATCTATTGACACATTATTATTATTATTATTATTATTATTATTATTATTATTATTCATATGCTAATATCAAAAATACCTAGAAAAGTGTGAAAAAGAATCATGATTAATATGATTAAATTCCTTAAGTTTTGAAGACAAATTTACTTCGTCTTTATATAAATTCACATAGAGATAACTTGCAAACAATTAATATGGTGTCCATCGACGTAATTCCTTCAAGATTCAAACGTACCGAACAACATACATAACCAGTAACGTGATCATCACACAAGTTTCTTCAATTGTTGAACTACATGACTTATTGAAAATAACGTAAAAAAAATCTATTTCTAACTGAATACCAAAACTCATCAAACCCAACTGCCATGACGTGGTGGTCGGGCTTACCTATTGTGATCACCCGACCGAGCTATACTGGCTGGAACTTATGTTCCTGAAGGTTCTACCATGCCAGACAGGTCGATTGGAGAATGATGAGAATAAAAGCAGCTAAGGGAGAAGTCGTACTGCTGACTGCAGACGGGTGTGACAGCAGTAAGGTGTTTCCCTCGGACAACCAGAATCTGCAGCGATGCTGCCTTCTCACAAGGAAGGAAGGGTTAGAAAAGGTCGACCCTAAAAATGTCACACCTCACCCTACCTCAAGGATTTCAGTCTCCGGCGGTAAGGGTGCCCAATAAGGGCTTTCAAGAGCGGAGCTAACACTCAAAAAACCTTTCACAAAAAGGCCGTGCGTGACCGGCCTCAAGCAGTTGTCCCTTGGGCTCCGCGGTCACGTTCCCAGGTCGTTCAGACCAACGCTAATCTATCTTCCTTTTCAGGTTCCTCAAGAAACAACCTTCCACGGTGTGGGCAGCCGGGAAGTGACAACCGCCCTCATACCCGTAACAGCACGCGAGACCAAAATGGTCAAAATAAAATCCATCCTACACCCCCTATTACCTCTCTTATCTCCACGACTAACTCTTCTCACATTCCTTTATCACACTGCACAGCTAATGCGAACGATGCGAGTTCACGAAACGTCATTTCGGGTCTCCTTAAACCCCGCTCTCGACTACATGTTGGAGCATTTAATGTACGGACATTGTGTCAAATAGGGCGACAGGCTTCATTGGCTAGGACTTTAGAATCTCGCTCAATCGATGTGTGCTGCATCTCGGGAACGCGCATACAGGATCCGAGTAGCATCATTCACTTGACCTCACCATGTCAAGATAAAGAAGCAACTCGATTTAGTTTTCGTGTATCCGGTAGCCCTGATGCTACTTCCAGGGTCTCGCTCGTGTACGTATAGCATTAAGTAAGAGGGCAGAACTATCTCTCCTAGACTGGATCCCGGTAGATAGTTTTGTGCGCCGTCCGACTAAACGGAACAGTAAGGATTCGGAAAGATAGGGTTACTCGTCGTTGCCTCTTCCCCCATTGACTGCAGTTCAGACGAGGTTAAAGACGAGTTTTACAGAAAGCTTTCGGACCTCCTCCAAAAAGCTACGTTCTCTGATGTAGTAATAAAGGCTGGTGACTTTAATGCTCAAGTAGGTAGACTACGTGAGTAGGAGAGACAACTAGATGGATGTTATGGTGTCGCGGCTCAGCGAACAGACAATGGCGACCGTCTGTTGCAACCGTGCTCAGATAACCGCCTATTTCTAGCAAACACTAACTTTAGGCATAAGGAAAAGCATCTCTTGACCTGGCGACCTCCAAAGTCGTCTCAACGTTGGACCCAACTATATCACATCGCATCAGCCACCGATAGATAGGTTCGATAGAGGACTATCGCTCGTTCTGGGGCACATGTTTAGATTCAGATCATGCTCTAGTGCTAGTGCGTATTTGTCTGCGCCTTATTGGACGCCAGAAAAATATCACAAGAAAACCTCTTAGGGCTTTACTTAATGATAATCAAGCTAAGAAAATATTTCAGGAGGAACTAGAAAAACAGGTAGGTGACCATGCAAGTGATTCCCATCCGGATGCACGTTGGAATGATATCGAAAAGGCCGTGGAAACAGCAGTGATATCTGCTAGTAAGGTAAACCATAAGGCTAGGATGAAGCCGTGGATTTCAGTCGCAACCACCGAACTGATGGATGCTCGAAAACGCATTCCACCCGACTCTGAGCATGTCGAAGAACGAAGTCAGCTTAGGCGCAAGCTGATACAAAGCCTACCCAATGCACGTGAACAGTGGTGGGTGGCGAAAGTGTTGAGGATGATAGATCCCCGAAATTCGCTTGATAAATGCCTTATTTTGGTTTCCACGTTTGCCAGAATGGGCTGATCAGTTGACCTTGAGATATCAATTCCCACCAGGAAAATCCATGGCTGTGATTGGCTGCTGTGTATTTTAGTATGCTGTTTTCTTAACTGTCCCGAGGACGTTTCTATGATGTATAAATAAACGAGAGTTGTATGTTTTATTGTACTGTGATTGCTGGGTGTTTGTAGAATATAATTTCTACGCTTACAAAGCCTTTTTACTCTATTTGGGGATTCAAGGTAGCCTACCTGGACGCTGGTAAAAGTCTCGTTCGCGTTTATCGACTAAGTGACGAACACAATATTTGGCGACAGGGATGGAAAAGGCAGCGGCGATAGGCAACACTAGACAACTTTTCCGCCTTACCAAAGAAACCGGTATTAGGAACCCCAATGCGAGTGAGACTATCTCTGAAAAGGATGGTCTTATGATCCATTCTCAATCCAGGAGATTGGACCGACGGGCAGAACACTTTAGGGACCAGTTTAACTGGTCTTCAGCCACACCTCGGTTGCCCACGATCTCCAGTCATCCTGAATGGCAAATCGATTTCAGTTCTCCTAGTCTACATGAAGTTGAGGCTATAGGAAATCTAAAGGGAGGTAGAGCAGAAGGTCCGGATAGGCTTACCCCTGAGATGTTTAAGGATGGTGGTCCAGTTTAAACAGTTAGACTGACCGAGATTTTAGGTAGAATCTGGGAACTGGACGTAATCCCATCCGACTGGTCTCAATCACTGATTGTCCCAATCTATAAGAAAGGACAGAAGTCTTCTTGTGACAATCACAGGAGAATAAGTCTAACTAATATAGTATCTAAAATATTGACCTCAGTAATACTTCGACGCTTAATGAAAGCTCGTGAAGAGCAAACTCGAGAAAACCAATCTGGTTTTCGACCTGGACGTGGTTGTATAGACCACGTCTTCACACTACGACAGGTCCTGGAACACAGACACACATTTAGACGTCCTACAATAGTTTTTTTCCTGGACCTAAAAGCGGCATTTGACTCAGTGGATCGTGAGGTTCTGTGGCAGTGTCTGTCATTGAAAGGTGTACCAAAGAAGTACATTAACCTTATACAAGCTCTCTACTCGAACACCACTGGTCGAGTGAGTGCTTATGGCGAACTGTCACCGGAATTCTTCACTTCAAGTGGTGTCCGTCATGGATGTCCACTTTCTCCATTTTTGTTTAATTTTATCATAGACATGCTCCTAGAAATAACCTTATCCTCGTCTGAATTTTCAGGAGTAGACCTTTTACCAGGTGGCTCGCTTATTGACTTGGAATATGCCGATGACATTGTCCTACTTGGTGAAGACGCTGACAAAATGCAGAGTCTTCTGACTAACATAAGCAACAATGCGAGCATGTTTGGGATGCGGTTTTCCCCCTCGAAATGCAAAATGTTGCTTCAAGACTGGGTTGCATTGGCACCTGAACTAGTGATAGGGAGTGAAGTAGTCGAACGTGTAGACCGCTTCACTTATCTCGGGAGTCTCATCAGTACCGATGGCCTGGTGACTGACGAAATCTCAGCTCGGATACAGAAAACTCGATTTGCTTTTGCCAATTTACGTCGTTTATGGCGTAGGCCAGATATCTGTTCGCTAACCAAAAGACGAGTGCACTGCGCAGCAGTTCGCTCTGTCCTACTATACGGATGTGAAACATGGCCTTCAAGAGTAGATGTTCGTAGGTTACTACTCTTCGGTCATAGATGTCTCCGAAGCATTGCTCGTATATCGTGGGACAACCGAGTAAGCAATGCTGTCGTTAGGAAACGAGTGCTAGGTAAGGATGGCAGATCAATAGATGAAGTGGTGAAACATCATCAGTTGAGGTGGTTCGGACATGTGTTACGAATGCCTAATTACCGACCGCAGCGACGAGGTATGTTTTGTGGTGTAGGAGTAGGTTGGAAGAAATCTCGGTGTGGCCAGACCAAAACATGGCAGAAATAAATGAAGTTACTGACAAGTGGACTGAGTCATGTTGGTTGGGGTCCGCGAGACGAAAGTCATCAATGTTAGAGACCTTGAATGACATGGCTCAAAATCGTTTGCAATGGCGCAGGTGCATCCACTCTTTGAGCTCTCTCAAATCCTAATCTTCTGGATTCGTCAGCACCTCTACCTTTGTCTTTCTAACCTTATCTCACTGAATTATACTTCTTGAATAATATCTTCAAACCCTAGTCTTCTTCATTGCCATTAATACCTCTACTATCTATATCACTATGCGATTGGATTTGACATTTGCGTCTCTGTGTTAATGTGGTATGGCAACATGAACTGATGTACTTACGTAGGAAGTTCTATGTTGCATCTGACTGACTTGCGTTAATTCTGTTGCAGATGAGATATCCGTATGCTAACCAAAGGATGAGTCTGCTGTGCAGCAGTTCAATCCGTCCTACTTTATGGCTGTGATACGTGACCAGTAAGAGTAGAGGATAGTCGTAGGTTACTGATATTCGATCAAAGGTGTCTTCGAAGTATTGTTCGAATATTCTGGGACAATCGAGTAAGTGATGCAGTTGTTAGGAAAAGGATGCTAGGTAAGGATGGCAAATCAACTGATGATGTAGTGAATCTGTATCATTTGAGATGGTTGGGACATGTGCTACGCAAGCACAAACACCGACTGTGTGTGAGAGCGATGTTTTGTGGTGTCGGAGTAGGTTGGAAGAAAACGAGTGGCGGCCAGACCAAAACATGTCACAAATACATGTTCATATTATTCGGTAGTCAAAGAGATCCCTTTCTTCTTGTTGCCTTCCTACCATAACAGCTGTTTGGTGAGTTAGAACTTGTTGCTTCAGATCTCGTCACCGCGCACAGCTACAATCCTCATACGCGGTACAAGTGAGATAATTGTCTTTGAGAATTATTCTATTTTGTTCTACTACAGTCATTGATTTCTATCCCCTTGACGTAGAGTAGAAGTCAACAGTAAACTTCAATCCATAGTTTTTACTTTTTTTTCTGTATAAAAATAAGTAATTACTACCATGCTTATAAGATCCTAAAAGTTACTTTACCAAATTTATTCTGAAACCGGTGAAATATTCAATAAATATTAATATATTTTTCAGTTTCTTTGTATACATTAAAATAATTGAATGATTTCATAGATTTTTAAAAACCTAAGAGAAAACAACTCCATTTTATGGATTATGGATTTTATGGTTGGATAGATAGATTTTGTTTTGCTCAGATAAGTACACATGATGAAGGTCGAGAAATGGAGTGCAATAATACGATATGGTGATAAATTGTTTACAGTAGTGAATTATCGAAGTAAACTATTAATGAACTGGCATAAAAAGTCGAAACAGCTGCTTATCACAATAGATGTTCTATCTAATATAATAACAACCTTGCAGAATGAATATTGACACAAAAATATACATGACTAAGATATTATAAGCAACTAGAGGATATCAATTTTGTAAGTCAATCACTACTCGCCAAAGAATTAGGATCTAAGCTTAATCCTAACCAACTTCATTCCAGAGAGATACCAAATAACCACTGAGAGTGGATAATTATTTACAAGAACTATTATAAATATCCAGTTGTACAGAAAAAACATCGGAACCTCAAGCAGTAAGCCATCAGCAACAACGTACATTTGATTGTTTAGTTAATGATGATTAGATATATCAGGACAACACATTCATTAATCGTAACGTAATTTCCAATCAATGCACTTTGATAAATTCCATCGGTGTGATAACATCTCAACCCTAGCTAGATGGTACATCTTACTACTGAATTTAGAAAAAAATGAACGTATTTCACACAATGAATGAATTGCACTCACACTACCAACCAAAATCGATATCTAAACAATATTAAACAAAAGTTTGTCAGAGAATTGTTCTTACAATCTCATGTTCGATAATTTTGATGGTTTCCCTGAAACTCAAACCACATCACCAGATTAAACGTTGGAAATGATATATTTTCAAATAGAATTTTATTTTCAGCTGCTAGAGGTTTGTAAGCAAAATGTTTAGGAGAGTATAAAAAATTTTTAGTACATACCATTATTGAAGATGAAAGACTCCATGGTAACAGAAGTAGTGGGCTACGTAGTAAATTGAACAAACTAACACTAACAAAAATCCGTTCAGGTGTTAACAACTGAGGTGTAGCGATATCAGTAGTATTTCCAATCCAACTGTTCAACGATGTATTATGATTGGCGAATAAGAACTCCCTTAAATATGTGACAAAAGTTATCAATAAAATAATATATGGCGCCAGATTCCATACAACATGGCATAGACCCCAGCCTAAGACGACACGTAATAGTTCAATTAGTTCAGATTTACGGATTGATTTGACTTGAGATTGAAAAGCCTTTTCCCATGCATAGAGTTTAACCACCTGAAATGAAACAATCGTAGTTTAAAAAAGTATCATTCGTTACAACTGACAGTTAACATGGCAACTAATGTGATGGAGAAGTTGATAGTAACTGTTGCTGGGACAATTAACTCTACTACCCTGTCAATCCATCAAGAAACAATCATACGAACACAGATTCATGAAAATTTTTAAAACAGTACAGGATGAAGAAAGAAAACATTGCTATAAGGTTACATCTAACCTGTTCATTGCATGATATCTTGGTTAGATAAACAACAATTAAAAACTCATTTATTCTTTGGTGATTTCATTAAATATGCATTTCTACCGCACACCCTAACCCAAGAGTTAAAAATAATGCAAATTATCAAGATAGCTATTGTAAGGTGAATTCATTAAGTTAGCAATGATTTTGACTATACTCAGATGTGATATCTGATTTCAAGATTACTTACACGCTATTTACAATCCAAAAATATTAAAAAAAACTACTACGATTAGGGACCAAATGATCGAGAAATAGTTGAAGCGTGATTAAATTAAATTTTATTGTTTTACATAATATATTAACTTTAATTCAATGGCCACTAAAAACCAGGAACTAGAAGTGAATATAAACTTACACGAATAGCAGCAAGCACTTCACCTAAGCATTTCATGCGTTTGTCCTTATATTTCATTTCACGAATCTGAAAAAAAGAAAACGAACTAAATATCTATTTCTTAGAATTAAAAACGGAAATATATCATCCTGAACAATATGACACACTTCTATTCGAGACAATTCTATTTGAAATGTTAGCAACCCATCGATCATACATTCTTTTAAACGATGTTGGAAACATTAGGTACTGCTGACGTCGGGCGTACAGCATATGGAAAAATTCATTGATGCGACTCTAAACCTTCATCCATAAAGACAGTATGCATACCTAGAGACTCCCTACGTTAACATCCTGTTTTGACTGACACAAGAGTAGGTTAATTAAAGTCCTAAAGTTTTTAAAACAAATATATGCCACTGGTCTATGGACTGACTGACTATTGAACTCAGATCTAAATTTTCTGATTAATACCTCCGGAGATAGTCATAATCCCTGGTTGCAGATTAAAATCGTTTACAGTCCAATACACAAATTTATTCTTTGTATTCCTGCTTTAATTGTGCATAATTTCATTCAGTATGTTTCATCCTTTGATTAAATTTATGCCTTTAGAATTATATTTTTGATGTTTGGTTCTCTATAATTGGTTGATCAACAACTTTTACAATAACTCTGCTTTGCCAAAAACAGATGAAATAAACCAAGTATATAAAATTAGCCATTCACTAGCAGAGTATTTTAACTTAAGCACAACTATAACTGCAAAATAACATGGCTTACCTCAAATTTCTGAGTAGCCCATATTAGTAAACAATTGAGTGGTAATACAAATAACAAAAATCCAACACCAGCTATCGCAGCTGAACCAAGCTGACGCCACAACAAAATAAACGACAAACCAAATTCAATGAATGCATCCCAAACAAGGAACGAGAACACTGAAAAATTTTCAATACATCTATCATTTAGAAACAAAATATAATTATCAACGTTGTGTACGTACGTAGTTAGTCAGATAACGGAGACTAAGACGTCCAGTATTTTGTAAACAAAAATACGAAAATGAATCACTGAATATTTATTTAATATAAACATTGAAAACAAGTGTTAATAATAATAAACTTGAAATCATAAGCTATCTATCATCAGGTGGTAATGAATACATCATTGTTTATAACCGACTAAACAATTTTTCACGACTAGGAGTTTAATCACACGCGTTGTATGCATTCGGATCACTTCAAAGCCTGTTAGTGTATTTATACATACAACTGATTTATCACGAAACTGCGATTTCAATCAAATATTACTTAACAAGATCACGAAGTACGGATCCTAAGAAAAATGATAATGTTACAGTAAAACAAGTTAATAGATAATGAGAGTAATTAGTTACCACGTACACGTCAGCAATGTTGCCTAGACTGTAAACAAGATATTTTAAAATTCAAATATCCGTTTCAAGAAAAATTCCAGTTCAATTTATTAGTAAATGGAAAAATTGTTAATATTTCAAATGAGAACTAACTATCCAGTTTTCGATAATAAATATTTCAATATATTATTTAACATTATTAGTGAAAAACCACTGATAAATATCTTTTTATTGCAGGATTTTTCATCACGATAAGTTATATTTAATCAAATATAACTTGTGCAAATTTAGACATCAAAAAAATTCACAAACAAACTTGCATAACAAATTAATTACTACACTTACTGAAAAGTTCTTTTATACGATTCACATCGATACTGAGTAAATTTATCAATTCTCCCGTTGTATACTGACTTCGAGCCTCAGAAGATAATCGAAGAGACTAAGAATAGGTAATAAAAGTATATTACCAGAAAATTTTCAATTACGAGAACTATACTTGAATGCTGATAAATTAGTTAGTTTAACTCACTTTTCGATAAATTGCTGATGTAAGAGCTGATCGAACAGATATTCCCAGAGACAAGCATGAGCTAAATCCTCTTTGATCTACCAAAACACAGATGGATTGAAGAAACAGCATTGAAAATGCAATAAAATATCCTTGCCATAATGGAGCTTCAGGTTTGGAAAGAAATCGAAGTAACATTCTAAAATTGATGAATATATATGACTGAATAACTATGAAAACAAATTTATTGCAGTGAAATATAACGTTATTATGATTAAGGCCTTGGTTGTACTTTAGAAAACTACTCATAACATGATAAGTAAGTATTGATTAACAACGGTTTATATCTGGAGGTTGCTATACCACGTTAGCACAGAGATGCAATTGTCAATTCAAATCCCATAGTGCTAGATGTAATATAAGTATGAGCGGTAATAGGAAAGATTAGGGTTTGAAGAAATGATTCGAGAAGTATAATTCAGTGACATAAATTTAGAAAGAGAAACAGAGATCATGAGGAATTCAGAAGATTAGAATTTGAAAGAACACAAAGAGTGGATGCACCTGCGTCATTGCAAATGATTTTGAGCCTATCGTTCAAGGTCCCTAACCATCGGTTACTATTGTCTCGCGGACCCCAACCAGGTAGTCTGAATCTAACAATATGACTCAGTCTACTTGTCAGTGATTTCACGGATTCGTGACATGTTTCGGTCTGGCCGCCACTCGCTTTCTTCCAACCTACTCCGACACCACAAAACATCGTTCTCACACAGTCGGTGTTTGTGCGTACGTAGCACACACATCCCAACCATCTCAACTGATACAGATTCACTACATCATCAGTTGATTTGCCATCCTTACCTAGCATCATTTTCCTAACAACTGCATCACTTACTCGATTGTCCCAGAATATTCGAACAATACTTCGAAGACACCTTTGATCGAATATCAGTAACCTACGACTATCCTCTACTCTTACTGGTTACGCATCACAGCCATAAAGTAGGACGGAGTGAACTGCTGCACAGCAGACTTATCCTTTGGTTATCAGACAGACATCTCGTCTGCTCCATTTGTGACGCAGGTCAGCAACAGCGAGTCGAGTCTTTTGTATTGGTGCTGAGATTTTGTCAGCCACCGTGCCATCAGCACTGATGAGAGTCGGGAGATAAGTGAGGCGTTCAACACGCTCAACTGGTTCACTCCCTATCAATAGTTCAGATGTCTACACAAGCCAATTCTGAAGCAACATTTTGCATTTCGAAGCGCAGAACCGCACCCAGAACATGCTTGAATTGTTGCGTAAGGTGGTAAGACGACTCTGCATTTAGTCAGCGTCCACCTTTCTCATCAAGGTGGATATGATGCAAATGTAATCGATTGGCAGAGCAAAGGCCACATTCCTGAAATTGAAGAACACAAACATTCATCAACCAAGCTCAAAGTCAGAATTTTCAATACTAATGTCAAGACAGTTCTACTGTATGGGGCGCAAAATTCGAGAATTACCAAAGCTATCATCTAAAAGATAAAGGTGTTTATGAACAGTTGTCGAAACAAAATACTTCTCATCCGTTGATCAGACACTCTCAGAAACAAACAACTATGGGTGAGAACAAACCAGATTTCAGAGGACGGGGAAATCAGAAAGAAGCGCTGGAAGTGGATAAGTCACACATTAATCAAAGCACCCGACTCCGTCACAAGATAAGCCGTTAACTGGAATCCTCAGGACCAAACGAAAAAAGGAAGGCCAAGGAACACATTACGCCGAGAATTGGAGAATGTACACCAATTGGATAGAACTAGGAAAGAAGACCCAGGACAGAGTAGGCTGGACAATGCTGGTCGGTGGCCTATGCTCCACTGGGGTTAACAGGCATGAGTAATTAAGTGACCTACCTCTACTACTTTTTCCATCTCTCTTTCTTTCGCTACCCAACACTGATCACAATCATCACATAAGCTTTTCATCAGAATGTGTTTAAGCTGCCTCTGTTCCTCATCATGTTTAGAGCCAGATGGGATGTGTTTCCAAGCATCTATCAGTTCAGTAGATACTACTGAAATCCGCTGCTCCCCAACATTTCGGTTTACCGTTTTGACCGATATCACTGCTGTTTTAACAGCTGTATGGATTTCATTCCAGGCTGCTTCGGGGTAAGCATCATTTAAATGGCTGCCTAACTGCTTTTCTAGTTGCTCCTGAAATGCTCTTGTCTTTGTTAGGGTTAAACAGAACGCTGCGGGTTTTTGCTGCTTCCTTATTTTAACCGAACAATGAAACAAAATGTCATCCTTTATCATAATGCGAAATCTTCAGACATTACTGATAATAAAAGTAAAGCAATACACACCATACTACACTATATTATGTGCTTATATGTACTTACCCAAGTAACAATGGTGAACTGTAGTTAAGGAATACAGCAGCTGATATAAGGACCCATCCACAAAAGAGACGCAAACCGAAGGCTGAAACAAGAGCATAGAATAATCCCCATGTGGCTAGTGCAGGACCAGCTTTTATTGTACTTTGTTTACATACTTCTAAACTGCAGGAATCTAAGTTATTATTAGTGGTAGATGGCATCAAGATGTCGACATCAGGTGTTACATTCAACATATCTGCATCATTTGAGACATTTCCGGTTTGCTCATTATCCTCTTTAAAATCCATCAGCAACGGTACATCATCATTGCTCACATCTGAAAATATTTCTGACCTTAAGATTGACCGGGAAAACAATAATTTTAGAAAACAAAACATTTGATTAAGTAGCAGAACCTAAATTTTAGGGTACGCTATAAATAATTAATGCTTGGTTAATAGTAATTCGAACACAAGAGAATCACAGATGCATTCAAGCGCAAGTTAAAATCTGTTGAAATACTAGGACTTAGCTTCAAATGAGATACTGTAGACAGATTAGTTTACAGAAATATACATCGGCAACAATACCAAGTTCCACATTTCTTGTCATAAGTTAACAACCCTGTTCTGTCAATAAAAACTGTCAGCGTCATTTAAATGTGTTCGGAAGTACTAACAACCGTTTATCCAAACCACTAATCCGACTAAGTAACGAAGCATAGATTCGTGTACTCAACTTTGAGATACAATTCCTTTCCCATAACTGTATTGAGTACATCAAGATTGAAACCATCAAGTGTCGTGTTTTAACCATCAGGTTATTTATATCAATAAACCTAATGCTCGAAACGAGAATATTATCTACCACAAAATCGACCATAATCAAATATAAAATCAGATCACTTGTATCCAAAAGACTATGAAAAAAGTTTCACTTAAAACTTCAAATGACATATTTTTGAAAAAAAAATCAACAGGTCAAAGTGTAAATTAAAACATGTTTAAATTAGATTAGTGTCAAGTAGTTATATCGATTTTAAATAATAACGCTGTAATGAACTTTTGAACTCGTCGCGTTGTTGATCGGGGTACTACAATCTACAGGTTATTCATTTGTGAAATTTACAAAATGCAATTAAATTATAATTTACTTGCTATACACATATTTACTTTGTATGTAACTACAACTACAATGATGTATTTAATTAACAGATCGAGAACACATTTTTACAAAATGTATACTCAGAAAAAAACCAGTTTAGAAATAAGCGTGCAAATATAAGAATAATCAAGCTTTCCAAGCTGGACCACCACAAATAATGCAATTGATCACTTAAATAATAAACGTATCACATAAACTGTCGTCTAAAATAGTTTGTGCTGATGATGTTGTTCAGAAGAACAGTGAAAGCTCTACATCCAAAACATTCAGCTCAGAGAGCGAAACTCCACCACAATCATCCACCTGAGATACAGATTTTTTCCACCATCTCGAATTCATTCTGACTGTTTCGATTACTTATCTCTATCAACGTATTTTATTCATCTCCATATGGACTAACCATGAGGCCGCTAGTATTTGATGGATATCTGTGAAGTATTCCTCATGTACGTTTGGATCACCGAGTGAGCAATGTTGAGGTCAGACCCATGGTACAAGCCAAATATAATAAATCGGTTGATAAGATTTTGAATCTTTATCGAATGAAGTAGTTGAAGCATATACAAGGTGTGCCCAGAAACCACCTACATCGACGTGTGATCCCTGTGTAGTGTGGTAGGTTAGGAAAAAACTATAGGTGCCAAAACCAGTCCACTAAGTCATCGGTTGTTTTATTTAACTCTGTTAGTAGGCGCGCGTTACTTACTTGAGGTCCGCAAGTGTATTGTGACCAGTGGTTGGAGGTTGGTGGCTCAAAGTGAAACTCAGTAGCACAGATGCATCTACTCTTTGTCTTCCCTTAGATCCTGATTTCCAGTTATTTTCATGAGTATTATCAAATTCTAACAATCGTTTCGGTGCTAGTAGTAATAATTTGTTCCATCTAGCAATCACAGGTATGTATACTTAACTTTGCGCCACACTGGTAGTGTCAGGGCTAGTGATACTAACTACACAAACGAAAGTGTAGAGAGCAGGAGTTTGACTTCTGTAACCTACTGCTTGGAAGTCTACTGCTCTAGGAAATGATAACCTTTCATGTATTGTGTTTGCGACTGAACAACTCCCAAAATTGACTTTTGAAAGGTACACCTTAGTTAAGGTGTATACATTATTATTTTATGATTTAGTGGGATACAAAATGAAAAGCCATTACATAGTGGACACTTACTTTTTCCTCTTGAACCAAAGATTGTAGGATCTCTGCCAGGCATGTTTAAAACGACCATAACTTTCACTAACTGAATCCTCAGGACGTATATGAAACATATCAGAGGGACTGTTAATTCGACCTCGAAATCCTTTCCAAATAGTACTATGTACAAATGTTAAGAAATAATCATAAACGATTCATACAAACAGCTTATACAACTTTCCTTAATAGTAACAATTAAAATATAAGCCATGGTTTATGCTTTAAATTACCAAAGCCTGCCACAACCTTCAATAATTTGGATCAAGTTAGCATTTAACTGACTACTTCAGAAGCAAAAACTATCGACTGTAAACCCTAGCAAAAATGAAATAAATGAGCGAAGTTCAGATCATAAATTTACAGTTTGCAGTCATTTAAGGGATTAATCATAGTGCATTAGCAAAGTTAATAACTTCAACTGGAAAAGTAAGCAAATAAGTACAATAACTGTAAGTATGGAATCTCTTCCAGAAAACCCGAAGTTTAGGTTTTTAGAAATAAATAAAATTGCATACAATACATAACAGTGATTCCTTATGAAGTAAACTAAGTTCCACTGAAATAGTATATCTGAATAATTATTGGAAATATTACTTTCCAATGATGAAAATTAATAGATGAATAAATCCAGTATTTGTGCGACTAACAAAAACTGGTTTTTAGCTCGCCAGTTTATTTGACATTAGGTTATGGATACGAAATTTACTTTTCAAACGTAGCAAACAAGAGAAGGTTGACAAGCTTACGATAAACAAAAACACTGGGAATAAACCTTGTGAATGGAAAAAACACCTCAGAGAGTAGTACTAAATTTATATTTAGGATGGTGGGTAAAGATATCAAACTAGTTTATAAGATTGTATTGATTTGATTTTAAACCACTCGGGGGCCCACATCCGACTCTATTTATTATCATTAGTTTGTCCATTTCTTGAATTTTCATCTAGTTAATTTCATCCGTTTTCCCGATGATGTACAGTAGCTAGGGATAATACGTACTTTTTTAGGGTTTAATACTATTTATGAATGAATGATAGGGAGTTCTTTATGAAATTGCAATCCACTAGTAAGTGAGGCAATTAAAATGTAACTAACTGCCTAGATAAAAACTGAGTATAAACACCACACGTTCCAGAATTTATCAAAATGACATACCTTGTCAACCAACTGAAAGTCCATAAGGTTGGAACAGAGGCCCATAACTCTGGGCAGGCATCCTAAATATATGAAAACAGGAACATATTTGTTACAGCCATTATCCCAAAATACACGAACAAACAGTGATAGTTCCCAGCGTTTAACAAGTTTGTAATTTGTAAAGATAAAATGCAAAACCGTACTATCTGTGGCATATAGGCCTGGTCCTAAGTATCAAAGGATTATCTGATCTTTCTCATCAGAAATATAGGTCATCCAAAAAACGAGATTTTTTAATTTGTATAATATTACTAGGATGTCCACTGAAATAAACTTCTTACAGAGTTTAAACTTAATGCTACATTAGCGAATCTGCAAGTAGGAAGTTAAATGTTGGACATAAGCTCCTGATTCACAACTAAAATAACTTTTTTAAGTTGATAGTAAGAAATAATTACCAACTCAAACCAAACAACAGCACAAAATTTGAGGCATTGTGACGGTTTATATACTTATTCATTTAGATCAAGGGTTGAAAGCTAATCACAGCGATTTCAGTATTGGAAATCATACTTGTTAACTGCTTAACTGACTCGATGCATAAAATAATTGTTTGAATGTACTTTTCAGCAACTTACTTTATCATGAAGCAAGGAATTTCGTTCATTAAACGGTGAGAAAAATTGAATAAGCAGTTCTCCGAATGCTAAGCATATATATACAGCAATGGTGGCTGAATGAATCCAGTAAAATGTAGACTGAAAACATAAAAATGAAATCGCGATTGTCAAACGTTTTGATCAACTGTTCAGATGACCATATGAATTAGACGTACTTTCGTACGTTTCGTATGATAAAAACAGAGACAAAAAACTGTCATGCGAAAGGATAATGTTACCCATAGATTTTACTTTAGCTGCGTTTACAGGCAACACGCAACTTGTTACACTGCAACCTGGATGGCAAATCTATGTTAATCCTCCGACTTAATAAAGTTGAAAAAGCTATACGAAATCTGAACCGAGGGAGAGATGCAGGGCCTAATAAGCTTCCTCCCGAGATTTGATGGTGGTCCACTTTTAGCAGTAGGATTGATTAAGATCTTAGGTAGAATCTGGGAACTGAAACCGATCCCATCTGACTCATCTCAAACACTGGTTGTCCCAGTCTACGAAAAAGGACAAATGTCCTCTTGTTACAATCACAGAGGAATCAATTTAATTAATATGATGTCTAAATTGTTAGCCTCGATAATACTTGAGCGCTAAAATAGAGCTCTTGAAGAGCAGGCTCGAGAAAACCAGGCTGGTTTTCGACCTGGACGTGGCTGTATGGTCCAGATATTCACACTACGTCATGTCCTAGAACAAAGACACACTCTGAGACGTCCCACAATAGTAATATTTCTGGACCTAAAAGTGGTATTTGACAAAATGCAGTTTTTCGACTACTCTAAGCAACAATGAAAGCATGTTGCCCCTCAAAATGCAAAACGCTGCTTCAGGAGTGGGTTGCATCAGCACCTGGACTATCTATTTCTAAATTAATGTAACTAAATTATACTTCTTGAATAATTTCTTCAAAACCCATTACCGCTAATACTTCTACTATCTCTACCACTATGGGATTTAAACTGACAATTGCGTCTCTGTGCTAATGTGGTATGGCGACGTGAACTTATGTACGCACATTGTAACTGACTGACAACAACACGGCTCAGAGAACAGACAATGGTGACCGTCTGTTGCAAGTATGCTCAGACAACTGCCTATTCTTAGCAAACACTAACTTTAGGCATAAGGAAAAGCACCTGTTCACCTGGCGACCTCCAAAGTCGTCTCAACGTTGGACGCAACTAGATCACATCGCCATCAGTCACCGATGAAGGGGTTCGATAGAAGACTGTCGCTAGTTGTGGGGCACATGTCTAGATTCAGATCACGCCCTAGTGCGAGCTCGTATCTGTTTGAGGCTTGCTGGACGTAGGAAAGACACCGTAAGAAAGCCTCTTAGGATTTTACTTAATGATAATAAGGCGAAGAATATATTTCAGGAACAACTAGAAAGACAGTTATGCGACCATTTAAGCGATTCCCTTCAGGAGGCAGGTTGGAATGATATCAAAAAGGCTGTGGAAACAGCAGTGATATCTGCTAGTAGGTTGACCATAAGGCTAGAATAAAGCCGTGGATCTCAGTAGCATCCACCGATCTGATGGATGCCCGAAAACTCATCCCACCTGGCTCTGAATATGATGAAGAACGAAGTCAGCTTAGGCGCGGGCTGATAAAAAGCATGCGCAATGACCGTGAACAGTGGTGGGTGGCGAAAGCAAAAACGATGGAAAAAGCAGCGGAGATCGGCAACAGTAGACAACTTTTCCGACTTATCAAGGAAACTGGTATTAGGAATCCTAGTGTAAGTGAGACTATCTCAGAAAATGACAGGGTACTTATTATCCATCCTCAACCCAGGAGACTGGGTCTATGGGCAGAACACTTTAGGGATCAGTGCAACTGGCCTCGAGCCACTGTTCAGTTACCCACGATCTCCAGTCATCCTGAATGGCAAATCGATGTAAGTCCCCCTAGTCTTAATGAAATTGAAAAGGCGTTAGGAAATCTGAAGCGAGGACGAGCTGCAGGTCCTGATAGACTGACCCCTGAGATATTTAAGGATGGTGGTCCAGTTTTAGCAACTAGGTTGACCGAGATCTTAGGTAGAATCTGGGAACTGGACGTAATCCCATCCGACTGGTCTCAATCACTGATTGTCCCAATCTATAAGAAAGGACAGAAGTCTTCTTGTGACAATCACAGTGGAATAAGTCTAACTAATATAGTATCTAAAATATTGACCTCAGTAATACTTCGACGCTTAACGAAAGCTCGTGAAGAGCAAAGTCGAGAAAACCTGGCTGGTTTTCGACCTGGACGTGGTTGTATAGACCACGTCTTCACACTACGACAGGTCCTGGAACACAGACACATATTTAGACGTCCTACAATAGTTGTTTTCCTGGCATTTGACTCACTGGATCGTGAGGTTCTGTGTCAGTGTCTGTCATTGAAAGGTGTACCAATGAAGTACATTAACCTCCTACAAGCTCTCTACTCGAAAACCACTGGTCGAGTGAGAGCTTATGGCGAACTGTCACCGGAATTCTTTACTTCAAGTGGTGTCCGTCAGGGATGTCCACTTTCTCCATTCTTCTTTAATTTTATCATAGACATGCTCCTAGAAATAACCTTATCCTCACCTGAATTTTCACGAGTAGACCTTCTACCAGGTGGCTCGCTTATTGACTTAGAATATGCCGATGACATTGTCCTACTTGGTGAAGACGCTGACAAAATGCAGAGTCTTCTGACTACCCTAAGCAACAATGCGAGCATGTTCGGTATGCGGTTTTCCCCCTCGAAATGCAAAATGTTGCTTCAAGACTGGGTTGCATTGGCACCTGAACTAGTGATAGGGAGTGAAGTAGTCGAACGTGTAGACCGCTTCACTTATCTTGGGAGTCTCATCAGTGCCGATGGCCTGGTGACTGACGAAATCTCAGCACGGATACAGAAGGCTCGATTGGCTTTTGCCAACCTGCGTCACTTATGGCGTAGGCGAGATATCCGTTTGCTGACTAAAGGAAGAGTGTACTGCTCAGTAGTTCACTCCGTCTTACTTTATGGCTGTACAACATGGCCAGTGAGAGTAGAAGATATTCGTAGGTTACTGGTTTTTGATCATAGGTGTCTTCGAAACATTGCTCGTATATCCTGGGACACCCGAGTGAGCAACGCTGTTATTAGGAATCGGGTGGTAGGTAAGAATGGCAGATCAATAGATGAAGTGGTGAAACTTCATCAGTTGAGGTGGTTGGGACATGTGTTGCGTATGCCCAACCACCAACTGCCTCGACGAGCTTTGTTTTGTAGTGTAGGAGTAGGTTGGTAGAAAGTTAGAGGCGGCCAAACCAAAACATGGCAGAAATCCATGAAGTCATTGACGAGTGGACTTAGCCATGTCGGTAATTGTCGACTACCTGGTTGGGGTCCGCGAGATGATAATAATCGATGGTTAGAGACCCTGAATGACATGGCTCAAAATCGTTTGCAATGGCGCCGGTGCATTTATTCTTTGTGTTCTCTCAAATCCTAATCTTCTGGATTCGTCAACACCTCTAGTTTTGACTTTCTGAACTTTTCTCATTTAATCATACCTCTTGAATAATATCTTCTAATCCTAACCTCTCCGATTACTTCTAATACCCTTACTAACTCTTCTACTATTAGATTTGAATTGACAATTACATCTCTGTGCTGATGTGGTATGGCGACATGAACTGATGTACTTACGTACGAAGTTCTACGTTGCAACTGACTGACTGATTCTTAAATTATGTTCTTATAAAGGCATTATCGAAGTGTACTAATAACTATGTTCTTAGTTGATTATGGCACCATCATCGTAGCTGGCATTATTAGCCTGTCTACATATAAGTGATGAAAACACAAATTAAACACACATACCCCCATGAGTAAGCCAAATAGTAAATAAAATGATACACAAGCTTTACGATATGATTTGCTAAAGTAATCTTTGATCTGAAGAAAAGTTTATTTGTTTCTCACGAGTTAACATAACTATAACAGCACTTCAGAAGCGTTATTAATCTAATGCAACTCCAACTGCTTCACTGCTCCACAAATAAACTGACAGTTGTATAGTATCCATATGGTATGAAATGCTTAAGATGTGTAATATTAGACCCATCTCAAAGTTATACACTAAAATTTATTGTGAAGCAAATAAACGGTAAGCAAACATAATTATTCTGCTTACTTGGTTTGGCCATCCACTTCCAGTATATAATAAACCATATAAGCGAGGCAACATGCATATGATTATTAGACACATAAAGACAAACAGCATTTGTGAACGTGGTTGACAGGCACGGCGTTTATACTCGACTATCAACATATAAAAAGCCTGCCAAATGATAGATAAAATGGTTAGCTGAATGGCATGTGCTAACAGTAGTATGACTCAAAGAAAAAAGACGTAAACAAAGGTATATATTAGGGTTATATTAATATGACTAGTATATAGCTTAACCGTATTCTGGATATATTTTAGCGATGAAATTTGGAGTATTTTATCCTATTTGCGATTCCTTAAGCGGATGCAATTGCATCTGTCGAATCGTAGTCCCAAATTCTATACCATCATCAGTCAAGACTCTTAATCACAACAATCAACATTGAATCAATGGGAATGGTGTATGCTATTAGTGGTATATGTCATTTTTTCGTTGTTAGCACTTATGAATAGCTGGTCATAAGGGCTTTGACTGTCCATCGGAAAAAAATACAGTTTATTTTAAGTCATGAGCCTGGTACGTCGTTGCATTTACGTTGAATATGAAACTACAATCCATCGCGTAAGAGAAATTAGTAGTCTTGGACCAACAGACCATTACGATTCTGAGTATGTTAGCAATGTTTACATAGGGAAGAATGAAGGTGACCACTGGAATATGAAAACAATACTATCATAACCTGACATGAAAGTAATCTGAAACTGATGATAAAGATATTCAGTGAATCAAATCCCCCATTTTTACAATAACCAAACACCTTACACTGTTGAGGTACAGATACAGGACCAGTACTACAAACACTTTCCTAATATTTACTCAATAATAACTTTGGTATTAAATAAACGATATACACTTACAATTGACAGAAACAAAATAGTAAGGGAAAAGTATTGCACAGAATCAATAGGAAGGGAGTAGGAAACCTCCATACATGTGGTTGATACCAGTAAGGTAATTACACACACAGCAACTCCAAAGCAAAGGATCTGGAACTTTAATGGTAACTAAAACAACAAACCATTCGAAGGCATTGTGGAGCTCCGAATTTGATCAAAGCAATACGATGGTTCCACATACGTTTCTTAAACAATACTGAGAGTATAAACATACAAAATAAGGTCAACCCGGGAAATGTCAGTACAGAAAATTGGAAACATTCTGACAACTTGAAATCCGATCCCCAAACTTCAGTAAGATTCTATGATAATATGACTAAATGTGTTTTGAACCTACGAAGAAGCTGTCTGAACAAAACTGCCTTTTATATGACAGATGCTCCATCGTGACAATAACAGAACTCAAAAGAAAATCAGTGGCAATTTAACGCAAGCGGCATATTCAGTACACCTAAGATGCATCTCAACCAAGGTCATGTCGGAGAGTACATTATAAAGGTCACAATTCAAATAGAGATGATCAAAAAGATAAACAGCTTCTCTTTTCCCTCATTTATTACCCACACTATTAGTGACAAAGACCATCTGGGAAACCAATTTTCTGACTCGAGTTCAAATCTTAGGAACAATGTCACATAGCTGAATCGTTACGACCATTTTCCTCAAACACCCAGGGAGAAATGCTAAGAAACCAAATGTACAACAGAGGAAGCTTAAACACATTCTGATGAAAAGCTTATGTGATGATTGTGATCAGTGGTGGGTAGCGAAAGAAAGAGAGATGGAAAAAGTAGTAGAGGTAGGTCACTTAATTACTCATGCCTGTTAACCCCAGTGGAGCATAGGCCACCGACCAGCATTGTCCAGCCTACTCTGTCCTGGGTCTTCTTTCCTAGTTCTATCCAATTGGTGTACATTCTCCAGTTCTCGGCGTAATGTGTTCCTTGGCCTTCCTTTTTTCGTTTGGTCCTGAGGATTCCAGTTAACGGCTTATCTTGTGACGGAGTTGGGTGCTTTGATTAATGTGTGACTTATCCACTTCCAGCGCTTCTTTCTGATTTCCCCGTCCTCTGAAATCTGGTTTATTCTCACCCATAGTTGTTTGTTTCTGAGAGTGTGTGATCAACGGATGAGAAATATTTTGTTTCGACAACTGTTTAGAGATAGGATACCTCATTCGATCATGTGTTCAAATTTTCCAGAAGTTACCTAATATCGTGCAAATACTATTCGACTATTCATGGTTATTACGGTGAATTAGCTTCACAAATCTATCGTTTTAATCGCGTATATCAATGACTTCATCATAAAATACATACGCTGGTTAAATAGTAGCTCACGATATTCTATTTCAATTTCTCTTCATTATTCTGTATTGAACGAATACATAGACGTATGATGGACCTATAACGAAAATGTGTAATAGAGTCAGGAGATTTCGGCTGCCATTTAAGATGTTGTAGTAGTGGCATTATCATTTATTGGTAATTCGTGGTCTATTAATTCGAATACCAAATATTTACTTTTCACTGAGCTCACAGCGTTTTGTCCTACTTCCTACTGGTGTTTGAATTACTTACTTACTTACTAACTGTTGTTACGCCTCATGGAATATAGGACACCGAAAAGCAATCTGCAAACAACTCTGTCCCTCACCTTTCTTTCCAGTTCTAATACACTGCTATTCATTCTTTTTATGTTTGTCTTCAGTTCTCCGCCCAGTTTCGTTTTTGGTGTACCTCTGTTCCTTTGGCCCACCTGGTTCCATCTTAAGTCTTGCCACGTGATATAGTTTGGTGGTTTCCACAAATTATGCTCATCCAGCAGCTAGGCGTTTCGCAGTCGATAAGCCGACTTGTTCTCTGCCACGGTCGGTTGTTCCTGATGGTGACTGACAGTCGCTTATTCAATATCCAATATCCATTATCTTTTTCACGAGCTAGTGTAAACCAATTTGATTTCTTCGCGCTCGATTCTTGTTCTTTCGGTACGGTTACAGGTGTTCGGTAATAATTATTATTACTATTTCCAACGGATGGAGGTCTAGCCACTCGACTGTCTAATTCTAGTCAGCTGGCAGTTGCTTGTGAGTTTGTATGTCTCGGGATTTGAATGAAACGTTTGTTTCAGGGCAGTAGGGTTTTTGGATACTAGCAACCGTCATATTACCAGACCGGAGATCAGTTAGTTGCAATGTGGAGAGTAATAAGGGTAATAAGGGTAAAATTCTAATGATAATATGAATAAAACTTCAGAACTGAGTGATATATAGATGAATTTAGTTTATTAATTGGTAGTGAAGATTGTGAGAGAGGGACGAAGTGTAAGCAAGGGAGAGGAAACAGAGATAGTAGGCGAGATAGATTAATTGAGTGATCTGAGGAGATGGCAATGGTAACAACTAGCAGGTCTCAAGATATGCATCAGGCACAGCTTGTCCAAGAGGGAGATGATAGTCCGTATGTGAGTACGTGATTATCAAGTCTCTTCTTAAAGCAGTCCACTGGGGGTGCTGTGGTTACCTCGGCTGGGAGAACATTCCAAATTGCGACGACTCGCAATGAGAAAAAGTGTGCACGAATCTGAGTATTCGCTCTTTGATGTGCAATCTTTCGAGGATTGCCTCTAGGGGAGTGGTGGTGATGCATCGGTAATGCATGACGTGGCACATCGGTTGGTTGAGTTTTAAACTGTTTTTCACTGCCCATTTCTCAATAGATATAAGGTCCTTTTGGATGATGGCTTTCGTAGTTCCCCAACCTGCCGCTCCATACAATAAGATAACCATTTTGACATTCGCAATTAAAAATCCATCATAAGAATATAAGATATCATCCACCTTCTTATGTCATCCTGTCCACACCGCCGAATACTTTCTGGTAGTCAAGTTAGGCGCATAATGAATCTCTCATTTGGTTTAACAAGACTATTCATAGAATCGAATGCAGAGTGATGTACTCCTTCTTTTTACTGGTTGTTCTGATTTTTCATACTTTATAGCGGGCTTCAACTCCGCCAGTAGAACCTTCGGGGCTACTGCCGGTCCCAAGCCCGGGTAAAGGAGGAGGGTTGGACATGGGGTTGGCGACCCCATTCCGTCAAAAACTAACTTGCCAAAAAAACGCTAACCAGAAAAAATAATTCAAACCATTTTAACTCTGCCCTGGGAGTTGGAGGAAGAATTATGACGTCGCGTGATGAAAGCCGAGTTTCCTCGGAAGTCACGGGGCGAATGCCTCTTCTCACAACCAGAGCAACCATTTTTTTAGGTACATGGAACGTTCGTACATTGTGAGAGACTGGAAGACTATTTCAAGTTGCGGCAGAAATGAGAAGATACAACCTCGAGGTGCTTGGAATCAGTGAAACACATCGGACACAAGTAGGACAACTGAGACTAGCTTCAGGGGAACTGCTGTTATACTCTGGTCATGAAGAGGAAATGCTTCACATACACAAGGAGTTGCATTGATGCTGTCCAAACATGCACAAAAGGCACTAATAGGATGGGAATCTCATGGACCCAGGATCATTAAAGCATCCTTCAAAACAAAGAAAGAGGACATTACAATGAACGTCATCCAATGTTATGCACCTACCAACGACTACAATGACGACGACAAAGATCAATTCTACGAAAGGCTGCAGTCAATCGTCGAGAAATGTTCACCAAAGGATTTGACGATTCTTATGGGAGACCTAAATGCCAAGGTTGGAATGGACAACACTGGATATGAAGACATCATGGGACGACATGGACTGGGAGAAAGGAACGAAAACGATGAGAGATTTGCAAACCTATGTGCCTTCAACAAACTGGTCATCGGTGGCACAATATTCCTGCACAAACGCATACACAAAGCCACATGGATTTCACCGGATCACACTACTCAAAACCAGATTGATCATATCTGTATCAACAAAACGTTCAGAAGGACTATGGAGGATGTGAGAACTCTGAAAGTGGTAACTTTTTTTCACGTGGTATAGTGTTTTTCTGAAATTTATCATTCGTAGGGTATTACACTGATTTAGTAGAATTTATCTATTGTACCCGGTGCACTTTGCTTCTAGAAAGCAAACCTCCTAAGTTTTTAATCAGTTAATACGTACTTATCGTTTGATATCGATTTTAACTTCTGAATACACTAGTTTAAGCCTAATTACAGTGACTCTTGCACTTCATAACTGAACCTCTTATCTTAAAAATCCGCCACTGATTTTAGGTATTAACACAGTTAATACAAAATAAGTTATACCCTTAGATATTTGAGTTACTTAGACAAGCCATTATCCCACCTTATTTTCCATTATGACAAATAATTCGAGTAAAAGAGAAATGTCACCAACTTTTAAACCACCTAAAAGATCAAAATCTGCAAACCCTATGTCAGATCAATCTTCACTAAGTAATCCAATAGTGAAACTCGTAGATATAAGAGATACTATACCCAAATATACCGAAACGTCTACACAGAAAAAACTTCACCATAATCTTGTAAAGCCTAAATCAGGAAATTCACAAACCAATGAGTTGAATGCTCCATCCGAAACCGTTAATAGTAGTTATAACCACGGCAGCGAGATACAACAGTTTGAAAACTCACTTGCCCAGATTAACGATAAACTTAGCCTGTTAGCACCCCTCATGCACTTATGGGCCCCGAATAATGATAGGAACCTAGAAGAATTAGCCAAAGCGGAACATATCCTAGATTTTGTAGCCGAGGAAGTTACGAAAAGAATAATGTCTTCCTGCAATGCGATTGCATATAACCTCCCCGACCGCACATCCTTGAATTCGCTAAAGGATACCTGTCTGAAAGCGTGTGACATGGCAAACGTCAACTGTCACGTCACTCGCCTCAGAAAAAAATCGGACAAGTCAACTTGCCCTCTCCTTTTCAAATTCGGCTGCTGCAACGACGCCAAAAAATTTATCCGTTTGAGCAAAAATATTAGCTCATCAACCTTATACAAAGAAGTAAAGGTTACCCCGGATCTAACGCCTTGTCAACGTCGTGTAAAAACAAGAGAGGCGACTAGATCACATAACGGTGAGGCAGCAAACAATCTACAGAAAACAACCCTCAATGTCATGAAAGTAAATAGACAAATAAACCATGATGTAGATCTTGATAAGCCTGCGGACTGTAAACCTTCGAACAAAGTACGGATCCCCTCTGTCACCAAGAAATCGAATGACACTTGCAGTCCTAAGCCCAGCAGTTCGAACGTTAACTCGAGTGAATATGTCCCAAAAAACAACACAGTTCCAGCTAAAACTAATAAAATTAAGAATCCATCCCCAAAATATATTGTACGAGAGAACATGATAGAAGCTGACGTGATTTTGAAAAACACGTCCAGGGGACCGAAACATTCTCCGTCTTTAACTAAGAAGAGTGAGCTGATTAAATCTTGGGTCTCAAGTAAAAAAGTAGGTAGGATTCAAACCCGATTGCCACCGACTTTCCCAACTACGATGAACAGGTTCACTCCTTTAATGTCATGTGATGTGCCCCTAGCCTCTCCAAGTTGTAAGACTGATAATATCAAGAGCATGTCAGACCAACATCTGAACATGCGCACTAATAATTATTATCCAAGAGCTAGGTGCACTGCCCAACCACCTAATCCTAGAATTATTAGTGAAAGTGGAAATGGAAGATTTTTCACCCCTCACCCTATCCTAAATACCCGGGCTTTTTTTCGCAAAAACGCTGAGAATGAAAACTCTATGCATCCTGCTCTACCAAACCAGCTGGTAAACATGACCCCCAAATTTAGAAAAGGCCATAGCAACTGGCACTCGTATATGGCTAACCCTCCCCAAGTTAAAACCATTCCGTATAAATTTAACCTTAGTAACGAGCTGTGTCATCAAGACATTACTAGAAACGGTGGTGAACTGCAATGCCAGCCGAATCAAAATTTTTTCGGGATACAGCCACTTGTGGTACCTCTTGCGCGACATATAGCTCAAGTCATTTCATACCACATACAGAATATGACAGCACGCTCCTCGCACAATCTCAAACAGACAACATTCTCCCCCTTTCCCCCGGGCTAACAACCCCTCCTGTAAATTCCAGTAATTTACTTAGCATGTCCCCCCCAAACTCCTCATACCACACTCACGTAGATCATAGTAACTCCTTTACCCAAGATACCCTAAACTATTTTAGCTTAGCGGGACATCTGTTTAATATATGTCTTATTAATGCTCGTTCAATCTGTAATAAAAAGACAGATCTAGTCATGTTTGCTACTATCTGTCAACCATCACTTATTATGATAACTGAGACATGGACCTGTAGTAATATTTCTGATCTTACTATATCTCTTGAAAACTATGATCTGTTTCGAAGTGATAGGTTAGAAGGAAGAGGTGGAGGATGCCTCATATATGCCCACTCTAGCCTAAACTCGCTCTTATGTGATATATCTGAACTAAATAGATTGCCAGACTCTGTGTGGATCGTTCTGAAACCGTCAAATGGCGTTTCTTTACTGTTCGGCTGTGTCTACCGACAGCCTAATGCACCAACAGGAGATCTAGCCTTATTGTCAGAAGTATTCACATTTGTTTCATCCCTACCGTTCACAAGCAAGGCTATTTGTGGGGACTTCAACATGCCTGAAATCTCTTGGTTCCCAATCAAAGCACCTAAACGATTCGAATCATTTATCGAATGCTTAGAGCTTGGAGAGTGGACTCAGCATGTCAATGGCCCAACCAGAAATCAAAATACATTGGATTTGGTTTTCACCAGCAATCTCATTCCTCACACTGTATATGTTGGAAAAAAGTTCCCAGGTAGCGATCATAATATGGTCATATGCAGCCTTGATATAGGAGCTACAACTATAAAGTATAAATCCACTACACTTCGTAGGGACTTTCGTAGGATTGATTGGTCAAACTTCCGTAACTGCCTCAGAAGCATTGACTGGACAAACTACTTTACCGCACACAATATTGAC